CTTTCTCTGAATTAGTTGACTTAGCGTCGAGCAAGTCTCTTTCGATCTTTTAACTTGGCATCGGTTTCCTCCTTACATCATATTTCTCTTGCAATGCCAAAAGGTTTGCATCACGTTCACTTTTTAGTATTTCAAGTTCACTTCGTAGTTTTGAGGCTTCAACGTTCTTGGCCATAGCATCATCTTGCCATCGTTTTAATCTTAACAAGGCATCTCTCAAATCTTTCTTCAGATGATAAATCTCGGAATCTTTGTTAGGTTGTTTCTCAAGTTTGTTTATCTTTTCAGTTTGATCAGCCAACAATTTTTGTGCAACTAATTTATACTTAGCAAAATCATCTTCAGTGTCGATTCTTGAAGCTAGGTTAGCATTAACAACTGCTACTTCTTTGTTTTTTTCTGACATCTCGGTGGACAGAGAGGCAATTTCCTGTTCTTTTGCTTTTACTTTTCCACTCATCTCATCGATTTGCTTTAGAAGCTCTTCAAATGCTGCTAAACCTTTGCTTTTAATCTCTTTCAAATGAGCCAATTTTTCTTCAGTTGTGAAATTTGCACTTTCAACTTTCAAAAGTTTATTAATAGACTCCATAATATCTCTTTTGGGTCGTTTTGCTTTTGTTGTATTATAATGTTTTCGCATACTAGTGTTTATTTTATCAATTATTGATCTCTTATCATCATTAGCTTCCAACATTACGTCCAGCTTAACCTTTTGTCCGAAGCCATCAATTAACAGGTGAAGCGACAAGCTTCGGGCGGTTGCACTTATGTCTGATGGGTAAAAAATCTCTTGAAGACCTACTAACCACTCACCGTTTAGATCAATTGCTCGAGCTAAACGATTTGAAAATTTTGTCAAAGTATTCTGAGGAAAGATGTCCATTGACGCATTTGATACTGCTTCAATGAAATATTCTTGAGGTTGGTTCCACATCTTGAACCCACTGATTGAATTTACTTGGATAATCTAGCCACTTAACAAAGTACTCCTTTTTCTTGCTACTTGGATTTATTCTTGTTCTTAATATTTTCTCGATCTGATATAAGCTCGGTTCTATAGCTTGGATAAGCTCATTATGGTAAAAACTGATGTGATCCTTTCACCAGCATAATCCTAGCCAATAAACCCAACCTTGTGGTGTTCTCTTGTGTTTCTTATTGTAAAATTTCCAATTTGAAGTTTCGCTTAGCTCCTTTCTCGAATATTCCTTTCTCTTATTCGGACCTTTGCACCCACAGAAAAGGCTTGTAATTGGCATTACTTTTCGGATGACTTTTTCTTATATTTCTCAATACTGTTGAAGAGTTTTCATCATTCACTTCTACCGGTGACATGCCAATTGTCCGATGGAAGGACTTATTATATGATTCTATTATTTCTTCAAGTACATCGATATATTTACCAGTATTCACATGATGTAAATAACGATAAATCCTAGCTCTTAGTGTACCATTGAATCTCTCCACAATTGCACATTTTATCACACCATCGGTAGCAAAAAAGTGATTGATTTTTTTGCGAATCATCAGAGCCTTGAAGTCTGAGTTGGCAAACTCTTTACCCTGGTCACTTTGTAACTTTTCTGGTACTCTTTGCTTAGAGAAAATATTCTCTAATGCTTGAACAACCTCAAGGCCTGTTTTTTTTCTTATCGGTCGTGACCAGGCAAATTTACTGAAACAATCAATAACGTTGAGTAGGTAACGGTAACCATCGTTATACTGACTGACCCAGGACATATCCATCAAATCTATTTGCCATTGTTCATCAATCTTGTTAACTAAAATTGGTAATCGAGGAAATTTATTTTATTCTGTTTGAAAAGAACGTAAGTGTCTTGATCCTTTAACCATTTATGTACATCGCTCAATTTAGCAGATGGATCAATCTTTTAATTGCCTTGAACAGTCGATTTACTCCACCAAATGATCCTATCGCTTTCGGCGAGTAATATTCTCTCTAACGTTGGAAGCTTTCAGCCATGATATGTTCACTTGTTTTAATTTCTCCTTTGCTTTAGGGTTATTGATGTGGCTTAAACATTCTACAGTTTTTTATGTACTTTAATACTTGTTGTTCCATTTGGTGCTCTCCCAGTATAGTTTTTAGACTGTAAATATTCAACTATTCTTTCAATGTCACTACCTTTGATTTTTCCATCGTCACTGATTATTTTATTATCACCTAAATCACTCTCTTTTTTCAACAAGGACAGTAGATCGTTTGTTCTTGTTTGTTGGGGGGTTGATGATGATGATGACGATGGTTGTCTGTAAAATGGTGAATTTTTTGACGGTTCCTCAGTCTCATTATTATACGTGTTATCCAAAGTAGTATGGAAAGAGTCTTCTGAACCATCAAACTTGATATTATTTCCATCTGAACTCTCATTACCTTCTTCTTTTTTTATATCTTGATACATTCGATATCTTGCTTTCAACTCATTTCTTAGACGACTTTCATCTTTTTCTTTTGCCTTTTCTTTCTTCATGTCATCTTGCATCATCAATTGGTTGATGAGTTTAACTTTTACACTATTCGGTAAATCAGAGCTCATAATCGGCTCAAAGTCTGTTTGTTTCCGCTTATTAACATTGTTGTTGTACTGGTCTTCAGGAATCAGTACCATACGAGTTGTTGTATTCATTATTCAATTTGCTTTGAAAGTAAATTTGCGAGAATTGTTATAGCTGGAACAAGTAAACCTTTTAGCAATCCACCTTTCTGAACTAGAATTCTTTTTGCATTTCGACGAGTAATTTTACCACCGAGTCTTCGAATATCTTTTTTGAACCGTTTCACACGAGCTTTTTGTCTCGCTGTCAAATGAATGTGTCCTTTCAATATTTTAGCTGCTATTTCTTTTATAACTTTCAATACGTTACATGGACAAGATGTTAACAATTTTTTACGTTCAATTAGTTTTTTTGCTTTACTTAACTTTTAAAGCTGGTAAGACCGCGATCGCTTTTGAAACAGACATTTTTTAACATAGTAAAATTTATTCATTTCTTATACAATTTAAATCTGATAGGCATAAATTACTTCCTTTCTCCCAAAACATCTGTTAACAATCTAACTTCATCGGGTGTATCAGGCTTACAGTCAATGAATAAGTATGAAAAAGGGCTTCTCGTCGCGTTTTCAAATATCTGTCTGAACTGTGCTGAACGTCCGGGAAACATTTGCTTAGCTAACATTGTTGAAATGGATTTATCTCTTGGGTTTTTAAACAAAACAATATAATGAGAGTTTAAAGATATATTTCTTGACTCACCACCTTTTACAAAAAAGTTTTGCACTAATAAAATTACTGATAGGTTTCTATGATGACTCCCTTTCGTAAAAAGCTGTGATACTATCTTTGAGTTAGACGATTCATGCATCAAGTCATCAATTATTATTAAATGAGGACTTTTACCATCAATCTTATCAAAAAAATTGTCTGGTAATCCTTTGATAAACTGAACACTTTCCATCTCGTTGAAGATTGGTTGGTACTCTGCATAAAAGTATGTTATCAATGTTGGAACTGGACTTATTGTTTTCTCTCTATTTTCAGTTAGTCTCTTCACCCAAAATGATTTTCCACATCCACTGGGTCCTGCCACCATCATTGTGAATGGGTGTCTCAAGTATATTGAATACATGTTGTTCATTTCAAATCTTTATCACTCAGATAATCTTATATGATTCATTTAAATTAGCATAAATTTTGAGACAAAGTTACATTAAACAGGACAGGAAATGTGCATTTTGAAAAGTGTATTTTGAAAAGTGCATTTTAAGTCATACTTGCATTTAAGGGGTACCTGCATTTAAGGGGTACACTCTTATACTACTATGAGTATTTCTGTTAGTCAATATAATTGTAATTCATTTATTATCATGATTATTGAGGATTTCAGGTTCATCAGATTGGTGGTTACGAATCAGGTAGACGAAAAAGAGAAATTGAATTTTTTTCTTCTCCCTCTTCGTTTATTAATTCGATTGGTTTATTAATGTAATATTATCATCATATTTTCGTAACAATCAGAAGCCAATCAACCTGGTAGAGAATCAAATTAAATAACAAATAAAGATACAGTTTAATATTAGTTGATCAACAATAACATGATGATAACCTTGAGAATCCATGATGAAAATGTATTTTTTTCTGTTCTGTGTACCTAAAGGGTTATTGGGAGTCTCGAATTGTTATATTATTAATAATATCTCCTTCAAGACTGTAGTGATTTTGTCAGCATTTAGCTTGTCAGAATTGTTCATAATTCTGTGATTTTATCCAATACATTTCTCAAGCTTTTTGGTGAGAGATCTATTTTTTATCTTGTACATAATTCATTTGCTCCTTCCATTGACTCCAATGAGCATTATCGTTACACTGAAACTGAATACAGAAAAAAAAAGGTTAGCATTTTCCACCGGATTTACTTTTCCACTTTTTACCCCTTGGGTTTCATGAGAGATTGTGATACAATATTTTATTTCCTTTGATTTATCGGCCATGTAACTAACTTTATTTTTTGTCTCTTCCAGAACTTTATCTTCATTTACAAGCACAATGATACAGTACTTACAGTCTCATGGAGTGACCTTTACCTTCAGGGTCATTTTTTTTCCATCCCAATTCCGTCTAGAAATCGTCTATCCATTCAAGTCATTGTTTTTTCCTCCTCTGTTGAATTTGTGATTGATATCATAATTATTTATCCATGTACATTGAATAGTTTGCACTGAATTTGTTGAACTTCAATGAAAATCATGAGCTGGTCAGTGAATCTTTCAATGTTTAAATCAATGAGTTAAATTAACTAATTGTTATACCAATCAAAACCTTCCAGTGTAAAAACTTTCTGTTGGAAACTGTAATTTATGCTCGCTAATTGGTAATCAGCTAAATTGTTAATAGTTTCTTGATTGCTCAGTATTAATGAATGAACTGAAAATTATGTAATGATCATAACAAAGGCTTGTGATGATAAATGTAATATAAAAGATGAAAATATTAGTTTATTGATTGTCTATTATAATGAATTGTAATTCCCTTTGAATCTTCATCTTCATCCTTTTCTTTATATTGTAATTGTTACTTTAATTATCATTATCACTATTAATCAGGATTCCAAGCCAATTGAATAATAGCTAATCAATAATATTAATAACGATAATGACTCTTGATTGTTCATTTTCATCCATATTAATGTTATTGTGACAAATTTGCATACAAGATTTTTTTTTCTCGTGTATTAATATTAATACAATGAGATAGCATATCCATGTAAGGTCAAGAGTTAATTATCCGTTAGTAAGGGTTTGATCAATTGGATTAACGATTTAATGATATTGTGCGTAGTTGATTAATAATTACATTTTTTTTTCTTCCATTGGAATAAAAGATTAATAATTAAAACGTAAAATTTGATATCTTAGTACAAGAGAGTCAAATGGTCCTGAGTCCGTTACAAATGGTCAATTCTGTTCAATTCTGCTGGTAGTTGGTCAATTTTACTTCTTACTAGTCATGATGTTGTCGTAACCATTTCGGTTTCATCTGTATTCCTTTGGAATCGGTGAGTAAATGAGTTAAGGGTATTGTTGTTATCCGTTATATTGGAATTGTTAATATTATGAGAGAAACGATAATTTGGACAGAAAAGCTCTTGAATGGCCATTCTCACCTCACGATAACGGTAAGAATAAATTAATGGGTCAACAATTGGCTTGGCTACAACTGATCCGGTTGTAATGAAACCAAGGTAGGCACGAGTGGATGAGGTTTGACTGTAAAGTGGATATGGACAACCATCAATACAAGAAATTGCATACCAAATGATTGCTGGCATCCAACCAATTAAATAAGTAATTATAATGATTAGTGAGGTTGTTATGGCTTTTCGGTATGATTTATCAATCCGACGAGTTAAATTAGTATTGTTAGTTATATTAATGGGATTATTATTAACAAGGGTATTGTTGTTGTTGCTGTTATTAACATTTAAGTTATTACTATTGTTATTTATCTGTTTACTGTTATTATTATTAAGGGAACAGGTTAATTTCTGAGCCATTTCAAGAGTCCAGAATATATGAAGATAGGCAACTATCATGAGCAACCAGGGAGTTCCAAAAAGTAGCAGGATTGTTGAACGAAAATGCCAACCCAATAGGAAGGTGAAATCGCAATCCTGTGATCGGTAACCTGGGTGATTATCATGAACAGGGAGAAGAAGGAGAAAAAAAAAGTAGATCAGAATTCTGGTAAAATCTTTAAAGGAGATCATCTTAAATCATTATCGTCTTATTGTTTGTTGTTGTTGATGTTTTGTTTTCTTCATGTTTGTTACATCTGATTTAAAGTTATAATCATTAAATTCAATTGATAAAAATCTGATGAGAAACAGAGATTCAAGTCAATTGATTGAAATAAGTGATTCAAATTTAGTTTTAAATTGGAAAATAATATTAATACTTGAAATGATTTGATGGTTTACTTTGATTGTTCAATGAGAATACAATCATCATCATATCGTAATCATGAAATGAATCAAAAGGAAAACAAATTGAAAAAGTTTCAATAATCTAATCTAACAATCATCATCATTATCAATGAGAAATCATCATTAATTGTGTCAGTTTAGATTAATATTAAATAAATACATCATTTTGCTAATAGATGATAAATAAATTATATTTGATGAGCAAAAAAAAAGTCATGATAATAAGAATCATGATAGTTCATTGTTGTGATAATCTTATTTCAATGAAAAGTTGCTGAATTATGAGTTGAGATAATCTAATAATTTACAGATCTTTTCATGGTGATTGCAAATATTTTCATCTCAATAGATTGTTGTTGCAGTGATATGATTAAGTTTTTGTTCAAATTATGATTATCAATTTGATTGATAGAACTGATTTAGTTTTATTCTTATCATGGTTTTCTCATCCTGGGAGAGTTCAAGTACTTTTCCTGAACATAAATTATCTTCCAGTGTGTATATATGAAAATACACTGAAAGAGATAGACACATGAATAACTGATGAATGCTGATGAGTAATATATAAATGTGACATTTACCTTGACATGATGTTGATGAAAATATGAAGATGAAAATGATGAAGGGAATCAACCAACAAGTTAATGTGACATATTTAATGTTTTCTGATCTTTGATATAAGCTGGTTAACCTGTGGAAATGATAAAAATCATCATTCAAGAATTAGATAAACAGATAATTAAACAACAGCAGAAAATTAAGTTTATTCAGTCAAAAGTAATTAACATATTCTCAGTAATCATTATCATTTAGATTCATAATAAATGGTAATTTATAATTAAATGAAATTCTGAAAGATTTCATCAACAGTTTATCGATAACAATTAACTAATTCACATATACACATGAATATATTGATTGGGTTGATAGTAAACAAAAGTAGTGATTGAGATTCATTGTCAATATTAAAACTGAATAAATCATTGGCGCTGATTAAATATCAGATTTTCCTGTAGATGAAATTGATTGTTCACAGTTTATTCACTTGAAATGTTTCAGAACTTTTTGTTTTCAACCTTTTCTCCCGAATAAGAGATAATATTTATTCTGTCAGAACTTTTTTCGACTGTTATTCTTGCGATATTGATATTATCCAATGGGAATTTCCATGATATTGGTAATAGTATTGCTCGAAAGGTTTATGATAAACTATTGGTTAATGATTAAGGGTGGAAATTGGAATAAAAATATCATGAATATCAGAATGTCAGACATTCTGATTCATTGATTACCGATAAACTGATTGATTTTCAACTCTTGTTGCTTCAGATTGTGATTCCAAGGATTGATGTTAATAATAATCATCAAATCAGTTCAATTGAGGATTTGATTTATTTTATTGAATGACCAATGGTTATTTCATGATATTTATAAAACTCTATCCATGCTTTTGAGTTTGATTATTGATTGAATTGGATCAACACTAATTACAAACAAGGGATAACGGTTAATTATTAATGATAATCTATTGATAAAACGATGATTAAGTGAAGCATATTGAATAATTTTTTGTACATTTTTTTTTATTCTCACAATTAACGTTAATCTGATTCTAATGTAATTGAGAGTTATTATCCATTCATATGGAAATCAATTAATTGATTGGGCTAAAATAAATATGTATTATTATAAATACAATATCATGTTGATTATGTTTAATGGTGAAAGTGAAATGATTAACGGTAACATTTGTCATGATTGTTAATTATCTCATTTTTCTCATTATAATCATTACCAATATAAAATGAGTGTATTAATATACTTGTCAAAAAATGAATTGATGATTTACAAATATATATATATATATATATATGATTAATATACGATTATTATGTAATTTATTTGGATCACTTGGAATTACGGAATAATAATAATAATATAGTTATCAAAATAATAACGATCGAGATTCAGGTTGATAGCATGAGAAATGATTATTGACAATTTTCAATTTCAACAAGAATCTTAATCATGTAGGAAAAACAATCAAGTAGAAAGTTTAATTTACTTTTCGTTTAACTGAGAGAGAGAGAGCGAGTAAATCAACGATCAGAAAGGTAAATTAAGATGTGAATGGTAGTGGATAAGATTCAGGATAAGTAACAACACCAAAGTCTACATGGTGATGTAAATAAAAATGTGATTTGGAGTGAAAAAATCATGGAACCAAAATTCAGTTAGAAAGTTGAGAATTTTTTTCACTTTCGATTGGAAGAAAATACGAAAAAAAAAAGGATGAGGATGAAACATAAGTTTATGTTCATGACATGAGACAGAAAAAGGATAAATGATAGATGAGAATGAGCATCACTGAACATGTAAAATAAGAATGAGAAGAAAAAAGTTTGCTGAAGATAAGGAAGATAAATTCAAGTGATTGAAATGAGGAAATGATTTCCTTGAGTGTGAATCCCTTTTCTTGTCAACTCAAGTTTCTCCCTATCGACCCAAAGCAATTGATTCTTGATGGATTAATGTCAATCACAAGTTGATGTATAATGATAACGATCGCAGTTCTCAAATTATTACTTAATCATTTTGTGAATTAGCTTGCAAATTATTCTAGTTAATTTGTGAATCAAAGGCTAATTACAAATCATGTAGCAGTCAAATTGAACAGAGAGATGTAGTTGTAAGTTTGTTGATTGTGTTTCTCATGATATAAATATAAGAAAACTCTTGGGAGTGATTACTGTTACAAAGATGATCAGTGTGATGTATTGGAAGGGAGTAAAGTTTATCATCATTAACTAGACATCATCAGCTCTGAATTAATCTCATTTGGTGAATAATAAAGTGAAAATTAAAGGTAAATGGGAAAATTCAGTTCAATTCGATACAATTGAATGGAATCCAAATGTTAGACCCATGAGGGTTTTGTTGAATGAATCTTGTCACCAATCAGATAAAGGTGACAATCTCAATCTATTAACACTTTTTGTCCTTTTAGTATAATTAATCATTACAATTTAAATCAAAATAGGAAGAATTAACTTATCTAATAGTTAATTCAAATGGTAATCAATCAGCTAAGTTAATTGTGATTACTGTTCAATTTACAATTGTTTAGTGACTGAAAAGCCAAAGACAATTAATCAACTTTCAAAGTTACAATCAAAATAATTGGACTAATTTTCATTCATTTGATATATTCATTGGACCACAATTGTTAACAATTTTGATTGTAATTTATCATTCAAGTAGCAACAATGTAACAAAAATAAATCAAAATTAACTGTGACAATTAAATGTTCCGTTACTACTAATACGAGTGGAAAACTTTGGTTCAGAATTATAATTCATGTCAAGTAATGAATTTGGTGAGCCCTGAACAGCTACCATGAAATTGGAAACTGAAATTTAACCAAATTGGATGGAGAAAAAAAATCCGAATTTCAATTGCGATAAACATTTAGGAAATAAAAAGACCAATTGAATATTAATCATTCTAAGTATTATTCATCATCTTCATTATCATTAAACGGTAAGAATTAATTTCCGGTTGATGAGACTGATTAACTTAATCTTTAATTAGTTTCATTAAGATTAGATCGATATGTTAAAGAGGGAAAAAGTTGTCCGAACAGCATTTTATCTAATTGATTGATTAGATTTACTGATAATAAGATAATAAGATTAAGACTTAGAATGTAAAATAATTAATTGAGTTGAAGAGAAAGATGAAAAATTCTTGAATATTTAGAATGGAAATTCAATAAAAAAAAATATATCATGAATGATGAATAAAAACAAAGTGAAATTGAAATTGTTGGCAGTAAATATATTATATTATAAATGAAAGATATCAAATAATGGATTGAATAAAAATTGTGTTAAGGTGATGAATGATGCAGGATGAGAGAGAGAGAGAGAGAGAGAGAGAAGCGAAATGATGAAAAGAATATGTATTTTATCATCTTTTTCACCTTGTAATCCTTAATGCGATTGAGTTAACAATTTTGATCTAATTTATGGTAAAAAAGATGGAATAGTTTTTTGTTACTGAGAAAAACTCATCAATTCACCTTGGAATTGTGAAATTTCATTGGGTGTAACTTCATGAGGTGGTGATGGAGATTATCATGAGCGATTAACAGAAAATGAATTGGAATCGTAATTGTATTTGAAAAAAATAAGAGGAAAGTTAAATGAAATTGTTACTGTTTTGTTTTTGTTTGATTTACAATTGGGAGTTGAAATTGATTAGTTAATATAAATAAGTTCTAAATCACAATTAAATGTTGTGATTAGAAATCATCAGTCTATCAAGTTTCACAGTGCTAATTGTTGTTGTTATTGGAAACTTGATTCGTTTGAATAAACTTGATACAATTAGTCAAGGTAACTCAAAGATAAACAGAATTGAATTAATCTTTTTGCTAACAGAATGAACAAAAAAAACTGTTAATCCCTCAAGATTGTAATTGGATTTTCATATTATCAACAATTTGTTTTGTTAATCACATGAGAGTTGATGATAGATTTGATATAATTATGATTATATGGATTTGTTTGTTAATGTTGATAATCATTTTGAATACCATGTTAATCATAATAATTACATAAAAGAGATAGAAAAAAGTAAATTACTCAAACTACACATATGATTTAATTGTATACAAAATTACCGTCAATTATAATTACTCGTGATGATTACGATTTACATATAACTGTTTATGATTAGTGATGATGAACCTCAACTTTGCTTAAATTATCAACAATCATTAACAATTCCAGATCGTTATTGTCAAAGATTTAATCAATTTTTTTCTGATAATTAGAAATGAATTCTCACCTCAATGGTTAAATCATTATCAACATTTCCTTAATTACTATTTTTCATATTCAATTTCTCAAAATTAAAAGGTAATCAAGAGATCAAGATATGATTCTACCACAATTAGAAAGGATTAAGAGAAACATAAATTATTCGGATTAAAGGGATTAATTGATTGTTTCCAATGCAAACAAAAAACAACTAATTACAAATAACATAAAACACTGAATATATGATACAATTTAAAATGATTAACAATGTGTTAATCAAGGTAAATATTGTAATTACCAATGGATAAATCTTAAAGCAATTAGAGAAGAAACCAAATTAATTAACACTTATAAGAACTGCTAAGTAAACAATTAATAATATCTAAATGTGTTAATTATGATAATTTAATGATGAGTAGTTATCTAAATGAGTTAATTAGTTGATTGTTGAAAATAGTAATAATAATATTTACATACCTGTGATGAATTGGATTAACTGTTCCTTGATAGTGGAGCCATGTTAATGCTAATAGATGAAGAACCGAGGCAAATAATGAGGTTAATCTGATAACTTCAATGGTCAACAGAATACATCGGTTTAATTGGATTCCCTGGACAACCGGAAGATAAGAGGAAAAAATGATGACCAGTACCGTTATAAAGGAGGCGATTGCATCGGTCGCCGCTAAATTTAGTGATAAAGTCAAAATGGGTGACCCATTGATGTAGCGACTTCCACGAACCTTAATCAGGACACCATTGAGTAGGATTGATGAGAAACAGGCAACAATTAAAATTGGACAAAAGTAAATGTACAAAGTTGCTAATTGTGAATGTTCAAAATCGCTGTCAACAGTTTGATTACTATAGTTGGAAGGGAACAAATTTTCAATATATTCCGCTGGTAAAAGGTAAGTATAATTATCACAATATCCCATTGATGATGATGATGATGATAATGTTGTTGTTGATTAACTGGTAAGAAGAAAAGAAAATATTAAAAGACAATTAGTTTGATTCTTTGACATGAAATTGTTTGCAAAGAGAAGCAACAATCTGATGAATACGAGAATGAGATTAAAAGTGTAACCATAATTTGTCAAAGATGTGAAAGGATGATGATGATGATGATTGAAAAGGATGAAAAGGGAAGATGAGAAGTTGTAATGGAAAGTTTTTGAAATGAACAAAGAGGTAGAAGGATAGACTAGAACTGTGGAGAGAGAGAGAGAGGAAAAAGGATGAAGATGGAGATGAGGATGAGGATGGGGATGGCGAGAAAATCTTAATATAATTTGAAAGTAGTTGTTCCTATAAGGAGGAAGGAAAAAAAGTTCTTTTGAGAAGAATCAATGTGAATGATGATGAGAGGAAAGATGGTGGTGTTGGCGGTGGAAAAAGTTATTCACTTTTATATTATTGTTGTTTTTGTTGTTTCTCTTGTAGATTTAGCAGCTACGAACTGTACTTCGCTGTATAAATATATAAATATCATGTTGAAGTTCAACTGAATTTCCATTATTTTGTTCATGGGTTCCGAAGTTGCATCGACTCAAATTGTGATAGTTAGATTTAACTTAATTTTTCTTCGTCTTCATCATCTTTTCCTCTTTAGTTTGAGTCACTTTCTCCTTTTTTTTTGATTTCCTGACACATTTCCTATTATATTCCTTCGTATGGTGATGGTGATGATAACACTGAGAATGCAGAATATTAAGAATAAAGTAGTTGTAGTATTAGAAGAGGTAATATGGTGATAATAATCATAATAAGAAGAAGAATCAAGAGAAAGATCAACCCAATCAAAGTCAAAGAGAGAAAGAGAGAAAGAGAGAGATAGAATCAAGTAGAATGGAGGGAAAAGTTCAGGTTAATTCAGAGTAAATCGGGATAACAACAATTTCCTTCTTTATCGGTTGATCTTCCTGTGGAATGATGATGATGATGATTGTAAGGGTATTACGTAAGAGGTTAATCTAATCTCTTTAAGCTATTTTAAACTGTCTTATCAATCACATGATACTTAAATTTGAATCATTTGACCAACAGAAAGATTGAGTATAAAAGCCAATAAGTAAGGACCTTACTCATCAGTTAACTATCAGTTAATCAGTTGATTTTGTCATTTAATTTACAATCAATCAGTTAATCATCTTTTTGGTAAATTTGTCAATTAATCTTTATTTGTACTTCATGTTTTCATTTAATTAATCACCCCTTTTTATAATTTGATTTCCCTCTCACTTCATTGACTAATCAAGTTCCTAATTAAACTTACTCTAATTAAAATTTATTCTTCAATAAATCAACCTCAGTCTTTATAAATCTATACCTCAATCAAAACGTGTCTCTCTGAATAATCCCCCCTCGGTAACTTGTAACTGTGCCTACAAAATGGTGGAGATGCCGATCTTATTCAAGTGATAAATTTTGATGTGTAAACAGGCCTAGTCAACGTGTATAAGCCTATAAACTGCTATAAAAAGCTTCAGCCAAAGCTTCCAGTTTCCTTTTCCGTTGATTTACAAAAGGTGTAGAGACTCTACAAGGACAAATTCGTTTGACCTTCAGAGTGGACTAAAGGTGTGAGAAAGGTCCTTTCTCACGAAATCTAGGTGGTACTTAGATCAAGAGTGAAATATTAGCTACAACTTGTGGGTTAAGAAATTAACTGTTAATTTGTGAAAGTGGTAAAATCAAAATCATCGTAATAATGTCGCAAACAGATAAAGTGGAAAAAGAAAGAGAAATTGAAGTTCCAAGGATGGAACTTATCGCAATTGCTGATGAATGGGGAATAATAAACCCATCACAAAAATCAAACGTGATGTTACAAAGGGAGATTTGGGAAGCCCAAGTGCTCCAAGAATTATACGAAAGTGGTTCAGATGAGTTGCCTGAAGCCCTAAGTGTAAACCCTCGACGCCATTATGAATATAAATGGGTGGACAGTATAACATTGAGAAAATCCGGTGTGGATTTCGAAAACCTTGGTCGTTTAATTAAAGCGAAAATTTTGTGTATAGACCAGTTTCTAACATACAATCAACAACAATTAGAGGAGGAAGTTGGAATAACACCAGCGATCGCTGCCCTAATTTCAAACAAATATTGTCGAAGAGAAAAAGCATCATTCATGGAGCGTTTGGAAACGCTGAATAACAAAGAAGTAAGATTGAAACCTGAGCAAAAAGAAGCCATGGATCGAATGAATCGTCGGAAATGGCCGAACAGAGAAAATCAACCATTCACCGAATTCATTCAAGTTGTTGAATATGATCTAAGGACCTTAGATCCAACAAGAAATTCGTGGGTAAGCCATGCGACAGTCTTATTAGAATCAGAAGCAAGAGTAATAGCAGAAGAATTGAAAATCGAAAGACCAAATATTCTGTGGGAAGAATGGAAGAAAATGATGATAAACTCAACCATCACATCAAGTGAAAAAGCTGACTCAGCTTATGTGATCTACCAAAAGAAATGGGACTCGAAGGAAGACCCGAAAATTCATCTAAAGAAGATTGAAACAGCAGTGAAAATTATTCATCCACAAGCAGATAAACAAACAGTCGCCATGTTTTTACTAAATTCATTACCTTATTATGTTCAGAATAAGATAATACCAGAAAGTGCAACGTGTGATGCTGATAGCATCAAAAGAAAAGTCACCGGAATCTGGCAAGAGGCCAGTAGAATAAATACAAGAAACACCAGAGGAGGTCCTCCTCAAGGTCAAGTTCCACAGAACCAAAGGTTCAACAGAAACATGAACACCCCAGTTAAAGAAAAATCAACAGAAAAATGTTCTCATTGTTCAGCGATTGGACACAATGAGGAAAATTGTTGGGCTAAATATCCCGAAAAGAGACCAGCGCGGCAACAAACAAATCTACAGACAACACAAAGTAAAGTGAATTGTGTCGAAATGGATGTTCCGATCGAAGGTGGAAGAACCTATGCAACAAAATTGATAGTGAGTAAAAGCTCAACTCACTTACCTGAGAATGTGAGACACCCAGTGATCAAAGTGATGATAAACAACGTAGAGGTCGAAGGAATGTTCGACACCGGAGCATGTACAAGTTTAATCAGCAAGGACCTTGCCATTAAACTTGGATTACTATCATATCCTTTTGAATTGAAATTTTCATCAGCCGATAAAACACAAATGATCAGATCAAATTGTTTTGTGCCATTGAGAGTTTACAATGGAAACGAGCCAAAGATAATGGTGGCGTATGTAATAGATGGACTATCAAATGATATTCTTTTTGGTGAAAATATCATAAAGGTAACCTGGTTGGTTATAAAAACGAATGGTTTAGGTAAACCGTACACGTTGAAACACAGAGATTTAAGTCATGAGTACACGTTAAAAATCGAACCACCAAGTATGAGTGAGATAGAAGCGTTATTACAAAATTGGTACAAAGACGATTACGATTTAAACAAAGTAAAACCAGTGGAAGAGCAAGTAAATAGGAAGAAGGACCTTCTTCCTTATATTCAAGAACCATTAAGAAATTGGGAAAACAAGCGAGAAATAACAATTCAACAAACGTTAAGAATCAATTTGGTAAAATTCATTCACGAGAATTATCAAAATTATCCGTTGATAATCAACAAGATTGAAGAGTTTCAAGACAATGAATTAGATCTACCTGAAGAAGTCGAAGACATGAAACAAAGATTATACAACCAAATCAATCCAGAGATAAGTGAGGAAGATAAACAAAAGATACATAAGGTATTGATGGAAGAGAAAGGATCTTTCTCTAAAAGCAAGTTCGACTTGGGTTGCGTGCCAGCCGAGTTCACCAAATTTCGAATTGACATTGGAACTAATCATATACCAAAATGTAAGCCTTTTCGATCGAGCGAAAAGATGAAAATGGAAATGAGAAAAATTATTCGAGAATTTAAAGAAAATGGAATAATTGAAAATTCGGATGTGGGTGGAGGAGCTCCAGCATTCGTGGTACCAAAACCAAATGGTACGTGGAGAATGGTAACCTCATACATCGAATTAAACAAGTTAATTCAGAAAAGAAAATTCCCAATGCCAAATATCGATGACGCAATAAATCGATTAAAAGGAAGCAAATATTTTACAACATTGGATTTAGCACAAGGCTACTATCAACTCGAGATTCCAGAAAGTGAAAGAGATAAAACTAGCTTTGTAACCGAAGACGGTTGCTACAGATACAAGAGATTGCCAATGGGTTTGGCCGATGCACCATCATATTTCCAAGAGGTCATCAACAAAGTTCTTGGAGAGCTGAAATATTCATGTTGTTTCGGATATTTCGATGACATTGTTATATATGCAAAGGACATCGATCAACTGTGTAATAACATGCGTCAAGTAATTGGAGCATTGAAAGTATTTGGTTTCAAAAACAGAGTCGAAAAACTCCAAGCAGGAGTAACTCAATTCGTATGTTTAGGACATTTGGTTTCTGGAAGAAATATCCAACCTGACCCTAAGAAGATAGAACGGATTAAGGCCCTTAATCCACCATCGTCTCAAAGTCAGATTAGATCTCACCTTGGGCTATTCAATTATTTTTCAAGGTTTATTCAAAACTACGCAATAATTGCAGCACCATTACAAGAAATGGTCAAGAACAAATATAAAGGTATCGCAATTACATTGAATAAAGCAGCTTTAAAAAGTTGGAATCAACTCAAGGAAGCACTAACGGAAAAGTGTTTATTGACTCATTTCTATGAGGAAAGAGAGACAACATTAATCGTCGATGCATCTGCAGTAGCAATTGGAGGAATATTGGCTCAAAAAGATGAAGATAACATTTGGAATCCAGTTTACTTTTTCGGATGTAAACTACAAAAATACATGTATTCATGGAGAACGACAGAGAAAGAATGTGCAGCAGTGGTCTATGCATGTCAAAAATTCGCACATTTCTTGAGACACAAGAAATTCACGGTAATCACTGATCACCATGCTCTCTGTGAGCTAAAGAAAACAAGATTTAAAGTTACACGAATCATGAGATGGCAGAATGATTTGGCAGAATTTGATTTCGATATACAATATTTGAAAGGTGAAAAACATCCAGCGGATTGTTTTTCAAGATCAAATGAATGGGCACATCGACAAAAGGGAGAAATGAAAGACGATCATTTCGATAGGTATTTAAACTATTGTGGAGAATACGAGTCGGATGAAGAAGATTACGAACTAATGGAAGAAGAAAAAGTCATCAATCACGAGAGTCAGAAGGTCCTTCTGACTGTGGTCAAAGAATTTGATTATTTAGATCGAATCCAAGAAAAGAATTTGATGGCAACGATTAAATCACCAAAATTACAAAAAGACAAAGAAAGTGAACTCAAAAAGGAACAAGAAAACGACAATCGATGTAAAATGTTTAAACAAGATTTGGAAAATGGAAAAATGAAACGTAGATACGAAATACGAGATGGAATCCTGTTCAGGATTATGAATGATAAAACAACAAGATTTTACTTACCAGATTCACTGATTGACCCTGTTTTCAATCAATACCATAACGCTCTAGAAGCAGGTCATTTTGGTTGTAAACCAACATTAAACAAAATCAAATTGGATTTCTGGTTCCCAGAAATGGATGAGATAATTCAGCAAAAGGTTGAGGCATGTGAGAAATGCCAAGAAAACAAAGTGAAAACCTTCAAAATGGGAAAAGCTAAAGCGATGAAACTTCCGGGAAATCCATTTGAAAGGGTTCAAATAGATATGATTGGAAAGTTTCCAACATCAACAAGCGGTAATCAATTCGCATTGGTAGCAGTTGATACACTTACTCGTTACGGTGTAGCGAAACCCGTTAAGAAAGGCACAGGCAAGGAAGTGGTAGCATTTTTGGAACAAATAATGAATATCTATGGTAAAATTAAAACCTTGCAAACGGATAACGGAAAGAACTTCACATCAAACGAGGTCAAAAAGTTCGCAGAAGAACATCAGATCGAATTGATAAACTCTTCAGCCTATCATCCACAGACAAATGGACTTGTCGAGAGACTAAATAGAGAAATAAAAACGAGAATTGCAATCTACACAGAAGAAGAAAACAAATGGGATGAAAATTTTCAAACACTAATATTTGGGTACAACACAGCGATTAAAAGCGATTTAAGAAAATCACCATTTCAGTTACTATTCAATTATGAACCTCGAGTAACCCTTCACAACAAACTAAAGATCGACCCTTTATATAAAGAAAATAACATTTTGGAATTACGAAAAGAGGTAAAAGAAAAATTAGAGAAGAAATCGGAAGAAACAGCAGCAGAAAGAAATTTGAATCAGAAGGAACCTGATTTCAAAAGAGGAGATTTGGTAAAGGTAAAACCAGTTCCATATACAACGGGACCAGCCTTTATGAAAAACAAGTACGAAGGTAAATACATTGTATTGGATACATTTGATTCAACAGCAAAATTGGTTTGCGTGTATACAAGGAAAGTGAAAAGTTTCAATTACGAAAGGATGAAAAAGATAATATGTAAAGAGCCCAAGAATTACAAGTATCTACTGAAGAAATTTCCTCCGATGGAAAGAAAAGAACAGAAAGAGAGAGAAGGACCTTCTCTCATGGAAGAAAATGACGAAGAGATGGAAAAAGAAACAGAAGAAGAAACAAGCAAAGAGAAAACGATTGAAATATCTGATCATTCAGATCATGAAGAAAGTTTAACCAGAATTTCGGATAAATTGGAGAGGTTGAATCAACAACAACAAGAACAGCAAGAAGAAAAGAAGAATGAACAAAATCATCCAGTACCAGTAACGTTGAAATCTTCAGAAGAAAACCAGAAGGAAAAGAAAGAAGAGAAAAATTTGGAAGAAGGACCTTCTTCCAAGACAATAAGAAAACCAGAAGATTCTGATTCAGAAACTGAAGTATATTACGATACAACAGCGGAAGAATCAAGAAAAGAAAGCGAAATAGAAACAGCCAAAGAGAGTGAAGCAGAAACAGCAAAAGAAAGTGAAGTAGAACAAGAACCTGTAAAGAATAGAAGAAAGTACACAAAAAGATCATTTGGAACCCATTTAATGGAAAGAAGAAATAGAAAAACAAAAGAAAATCAACAAAACCAACAAATCTAAAATAAGCGAAAAGATGACGACGAGATAAGGACCTTATCTCTAATAAGTGATTTTAACAATTAACAAACTAACAAACTAATAGTTTTAAATGAAACATGATAAAGTACAATAAGTTAATTTGAGTAAATTAATTAATTGAAAGGACCTTTCAATAATTAACTTAAATCAAATTACAAGTTAACCGATGAGAAACAATGTTTAAAAGCGAAAATGGGAAATTCGAAATTCGATTCGGACATTAACCGAAAACCGCAACAAAACCGTAACCGCAGAGAGAAGCGCCAATCAGACGAAAAGTGTTACAACGTTCTGTTTAAAAAGCCATTTGTGACAAAGTGTTTTCTTTCAACAATTAATCATTGTTTATGTGTTTTTCATCAACAATTAACAAAGAGAAAAGAGAAGGACCTTCTCAATTCAAATCATCAATTAGAAAAGTTAAAATAATTAACAAAAGTGTTAAAGAAATTGAAAGAGAAAAGGACCTTTTCACCTTCAATTAAAACAAGATGGACAATCTAGATGAATATTGGGAAGTTCCAAGAGAGTCACTTGAACTTCTATTCAAAGAAAGACTTGAAAAGATCTTTGGTAAAACATGGAGTCAAATTGATTTAGGTGAGGTCATTCCAGGGTTCATTTTAGCCGAGTTACCCAAAGCCAATACCGAAAGATACCTCATCTCAGTTACATGTAAATTATGTGACCACATTCCAATATGTCCATTCAAGTGTGACCAATGTCATCAATTCTATTGTAATTATTGTATTAAGTTACTATTCAAAATTTGGAATTTGAGAAAAGGGAACAAAGATCCTGAACAACAGAGTCTAATTGGTAAAAAGTTCGACTGTGTATCATGTATCTCCAACCCTTTATCAACAATTATACAAATTAATGGGGACGAGTTATTGATGTTTAAAAAGCTACAAGTTAAATGTGTTAATTACAAGTGTGAAAAGAAAGGACCTTTCTTTGAAATGATTAAACATCTAAAACTCTGTCCAGCTTCAGAATTCAAAGTAAATTCAATGTTAAGTTACATCAAAGACAATGAACAACAAATTCATCAAAATGAACCTGAACCAGTTATACCAATAGAAGAAACACAAAGAAAACACATTGAAATCAACAGAGCTTTTGATGTACGATTGAGAATTCAATATCCAAATGAAGCAGTTCTGGTTCCGAATTTTCAAGCTCGAAAAGCGATAATTGATGAAAACGATCCATCTAAGAATAAATCAATTTTCATTGGTAATAGGAAACCAGATGAATCGATCAGAAAAGGACCTTTTCTAGATCAAATTCATCAACCAGTTGACCCTTTCTGGGATAAAGCTAATGATGAGCTTATTTACTCAGATTTAGAAGCGTCTTCAAGCCAATCAACAAATTCAAGCCAAACAGTGAAAAGTCAACAAATATCAAGTTCGCAACAAAGTGTCGAATCAGTTCACCTTCAACCTTCAACAAGTTCAGTTCAACCCTCATCAACAATGTCATCAAATGTACCATCAACATCAACATCAATCGAGACTGAAAGTGCTCCAGAGTGGGGATCATGGGATTGTTTTCCAATTGCTGCTCGTGTTTGTGCACCAAGTCGTGATGATGTGAGTGATCAAGAAGAAGGACCTTCTTCTTTTAAAAGATCACGACCAGTTCCCAAAGAGATAAATGAGGAAATTGGAGATAGTGAGAAACCAGTAGGTGCTAAGCCTAAGATCAAGATTGAAATTGCCCAAATCAGAAAAGACTCAAATATCTCAGAAGAAAAGAAACAAAAGATGATAAACCAAAGAAAAAGATTAGAGAAACGAGTGGAATATGGAATCGAATCGAATCAAGATAGACGACGAAGAGAAGCAAGAGAAAAATGGTTGGAAGAGAAGACTAACCCGAAAAACAAATTCGATATCGATAAGTGTATTCATGTAGAAAGAATCAAAGAAGCGAGAGAAATTTTTGAGAAAAAGAATCTAAAGGTATGTGGAATCGACATAGAAAAAGCCGATGTCATGACCGAAGCTGGTGTCCGCCCATTACCCATTTGGATTAGTATTGTAAACCTGAAAGGTGAAGCTCTTTTAAATCAAATTGTCCGATATCCAAAAGGATCATTCAAAGAGATTAAAACAAAGCATCATGGTATCACCTTTGAATTAACAAGAGGGCTGATGCTTGGGCAACAAAAAAAGGTACTTCAGGTCCTGAAGTCACAAGATATAATTTGTGTCGCCGGTGGAATTGAAGACTTTGTTTCTATGGGATTCAGTTGGGACGATTGGGATCTAATTAGACCAAAGATCAGAGATGTTAATGTGTATTACAAATGTAAATTAGAAACAAAAAGTTTGGGTCTTCGATACATCATCTTCGCATTATTTGGTGTCATCATCCAGGAAGGCGAACATTCACCATTCGTTGATGCAGGATATACTCTTCTAGCCTATGCAGTGGATTATGAAGAATTCGAAAAGTCTCATGAGGAAGCCGTCAACCATCCAATGTACACAAGACCATACCCTCATGTAAACTATGGTTACAATCGTCAAATGAGTCAACTAATCAGAGGAATAATGGAAGTAATAGACGATTGGCCTTTCCAAATAAGAAAGCAAATTCAAGGAAAACCCTCTGCATCTTACGACGAAATGAAAATGTGTGATGGAACCGAATTTCTAAGATCACCTTATAAAGACATCGATTTACAATCATTTGGAAGATTCAGGAGAAGGAGAATCGAAAGGACCTTTCGACGTTGATTACAGTGGTTGTTGAATTCATGAAATTCCGCACATCAGTTGTGACAAAATTCCATGAATTCTATTCATTCACCGTAAGCAACGTGAACCAGGGGCTCTGTAAGGGTATTACGTAAGAGGTTAATCTAATCTCTTTAGCTATTTTAAACTGTCTTATCAATCACATGATACTTAAATTTGAATCATTTGACCAACAGAAAGATTGAGTATAAAAGCCAATAAGTAAGGACCTTACTCATCAGTTAACTATCAGTTAATCAGTTGATTTTGTCATTTAATTTACAATCAATCAGTTAATCATCTTTTTGGTAAATTTGTCAATTAATCTTTATTTGTACTTCATGTTTTCATTTAATTAATCACCCCTTTTTATAATTTGATTTCCCTCTCACTTCATTGACTAATCAAGTTCCTAATTAAACTTACTCTAATTAAAAATTTATTCTTCAATAAATCAACCTCAGTCTTTATAAATCTATACCTCAGTCAAAACGTGTCTCTCTGAATAATCCCCCTCGGTAACTTGTAACTGTGCCTACAATGATGATGATGATGATTTTCCTCTTCTTGTATAATCAGTAACATCTTTTCAGGCTTTTCCTACCATATTCCATCCTTCAAATGTTTAGGTAAATAACAATCATGTCTCTTTGATCATCTTTCTCCTTAATACTTGTGATACTTGTAATTCTTGTATCTTTTGGCCCTAGAGAAAGAAAAAGAGAAAAGAAAATCAAAAAAAAAATCTCTTCTACTTAGATATAAATATTTCCATAGTAAAAATATCTCATCAACTTGAATGAAAACCCATGGTGATTCTGATGATATAAATAAATATATATTTATATATATAAATTTACTTACTTGAGATGAGAAGAAGATAAAAATGATAACACAATAATCATAATAATCACAGTAATCAAGTTAACCACGAGAATATAATTTACTCTTTATGGTGATCAAAATGTAGGCCCAATGGAGGAGGATTTTTTTTTCCTTGTTCACTTTAAGCCTTTCAGCTTATTCCTTTCAATTAATACTTACTCAAAGATGATTATCATGATTACGATATTATTTAGATAATATTATTATATATTAAAGATGAAAATATCCACTGGCTAAGAATTGATTGAAATTACACTTGACCGTTGATTAGAAAATCTCATTTAATCAGCTGGAGTTTCCAGTTAATTTTTTTCTCTTCTCTCTTATTGGTTGATTTTTTTTTCTCTTTCTAATTCTCAATGTTGATGTTTCATTTTTTTCCTTCTCTTTTTAATTGTTGATTTAATTGTTTGCTTTTTTCTTTTTCATTGAAAACATTGTTGATTTTCTGCTTAATTGTGAGGTTAATTTCTAAATTCCTGATTAATTATGATTCTTCTTGATGTTCTCAATCTGATTCGCTCTTTTTGCTCAGGTGATTCTCGTGTTTCCATTGGCTTTTTGTTTATTTTTTTTCTCTCTCATTTTTTTTTCTTTTGATTGTTTTTCTTTTGATGATTAACTAATTGTTACCTTTTTTTTGCTCCTTAATTTAAAGGTTTACACTGTGTCTTTGGTTGTTCGATTTGTGTTACTTGTTAATTGAATCAACAGATTATTATATTTACTTTGGAATAGATAATCGTTTGGAAATCTTATTGATTTGATTTCTTTCCTATGGTTGATTTTTTTTCTCTTCGTATTCTTATTCTTGGGATTAACTTCATCCTTTTTATCTGATCTTCTTTTTTTTTATATCTCTTTTTGTCCAACAGAATTGACCATTTCCAAGATTATTCTTTTATCTGGACATTTTTACCATGGAAATTGTTGAATCTCTATTGACCAATGATGGATAATTGTGTTACTTAACTCAATTGGTGTTTGTCGTGTTCATCTTTAGATTACAAGTTCTCATTATCTACTTTCATAGAGAACTTGATGATCTTATCATCATGATGGCCGATATTAAGTTTTCGAGGTTAAAAGAGAAGGAGGAGAATCAGGAGGAGGAAGAGAAAATATCGTAATTTGAAAAAATGATTGACTTACATGGTGTAAACTTGGAATTGAAGAGAACGATTTAATGATTTATTCATGAGGACCAAACAATTTCTCTCAACAATTTTCGCTTAAACCATTTTCCATTCCTGATTTAGCTAATTCGGATCAAGAAGAAGAACAAGAAAAAGAGATGAAGAAAAAAGTTCTCCAACCCTAAAGACTGGACACTAGTGACCCATTGGTTTTGATCGATTGGATTTACATCCAGAGTTAATGATCTCACAGAAAAGTGTAACAATAATGGCGATGATCCTCAAATCCTATTAATCATTTTCATTTTTGATGATCTTTTTTTTCCTCTTTCTATTTATTTAGGTTACTCATTAATTTGACCCATTGTCAATTCGTTAATTGTAAGTAATATGAGATGGAAATGATTTGATAATCCAAAGAAACAGGGAAATGTCATTCAGCTCATTGAGAAATAGACCAACATGAAAATAAAATCGTAATTGCGTTTGTTTCATGTATTTATGTTCATGTTAATCCAATTACCATTGGATGATTTTTTCTTTAATTTCTATTTATATCAGTGTCATGTTTTATTTACATGGGGATTTGTCCATTATCAGCAATGAACATTTTATTAATCAACAACAGTTTCTCTGTGGAAATGGTTGATTTTTTTTTCTTCAATTTCTCATCAACCACGAATAGGAATTCAATTCAATATTCTCACCTGAATTTACCTGATGTAATCTACTTTAATCTAATTGCTGCTCTATCATCAGTTGATTCCTCAGTGGAGTTGACATGATTACTTTTAATTATTTGCAACAAGCAACAATCAAAAAATCTTCACTCACTCTAAACAGGATTAATCAAAATCTCTCATTTAACTGGTAAGAAATTGTTCCAACTAATTACTATCAAATCGATTGGGGTGAATCAGATTCATTTAGAGCGTTTTAATTGGAAGAAACACTTTTAATTGCAAATTGTTGTTCTTTTTTTTTACAATTTTAATTTTACAAAGAAATTTAATACAATCAAGGGAGGATGCAAAATCAATCCAATCGGTTGGGATAAGTGTCTAAATATCAGGTAAGAGATTAGTACAAAAAAAACGAGGGAAAATTACAAAAAAAAAGGGAAAGGAAAAGTATTGAAATTAGAGAGGGAAATGATTAAATTATAATTAATTGCATAGAAAATTGTAAAGCAAAAAAAAGTGTCAAGTCGAAGTGTTTTGATGGTGAAAAATGAGTTGAGATCAATCCTCGTCCGAATCATCGATAAACTGTCGACGCTTTTTCAGTTTGGCCTTTCGTCGTTTCTCTTCCTCTTCCTTCCTAATATCTTCCAGATCTTCCAAAAGTCCAGCTTTAGCAGATTCCATTTCCTCTTTCATCTGTTGAGCGAATGAGGCCTCTTCGATATCGTCATCATCTATCATGGCGTATTTACGTTTATCGTAACCAAAAATTTCTCTAATATATTGAGAGACATCGTTTTTCTGTGCTTCAAGATCATCACCATCATCGATAAAATCTCTCATCTCTTCGTCTTCCTCTTCTTCATCATCATCATCCTGGTAAACGGGCTGATAATTCATTCCACGGCGATAAGTTAATCCAATCGGTGGTAATATTTTATTCGATGCAATTGGTTTACGAGCTTTTGGCATTGATGGTGGTGCTAATTGTGTCTTCGATTTAACGGCTACTTGTTTACGTTCTTGTTCCTTTTCACGTTCTCGACGAAGTTGAGCCAATTGTTCTTCTAATTCTTTGTTCTTTGCTCTCTGACGTTCAAGTTCTCGTTCAGCTTCCAATTCTGACAAAGGAAATACGATAAAACAAAATAACAATGAGAACAAACAAAAAAAGAAAATGATTAGAAAAGGAAAATAATCAACATTTGATTCACAGGTGAATTGGTTAATCATCTCAAGAGATTAATTGATATTTATATAGATAAATAAAAAAGACAATGTGTTGATTGTCTTCTCATATATTATTTATATAAAATGGGATCATTTTCATCTCATTGATCAATTGATGGTTTAATTGTGCTAATTTACCTCTTTCTCTTAATAGTCTTTCTCTCTCACTGAGAGAATCTTTTCCATTTTTAATTGAAGTATCTCTAGATGATTTGGCATTTAAATTGTCCGATGGTTTGACTAATCTTTTTGATTGTGGATTTAAGGCAGATTCAAATGAAGATGATGATGAGGATACAGTTCGTGACACTAAATGATCACCACCTCCTCCACGTTGATCAATTCTTGATTTCACTTTTTGGCCATTTTCCTTTAAATTGGAATGTCCTGATTTAGAGATTGGTGCTGACTTAGGTGAGGGAACGTATTGTTGATTTGATGATGAACCAGTTGATTTGTAAGCATCACTTTTAATTCCTTCTTTGGTTTTGGTCACCTTAGTTGGAGAATATTCAATTGTAGAACTTTGCTTTTTCCGATTTTCATGAGATTTCTCAATAATACTAGGCCTTGTTGGTGAATATTCAGCTACCCTTGATTTTGGTATCTTGGGTATACGATTATTACTTGATTGCGGTGGTGCTTGTTGTTGGTAAGGTTTAGATGATGAAGATGATGTTGGTTGTCTTGTTGTCACTGATGATGACTTTTCGAGGCCACATGGTTACCATTTGATAGTTTACTCGATGGTTGATTAGTTGATTTATTATCTTTCTGAGTAGAAGTAGTATTACTTTTATTCTGTTGTCTTCTCATGTTTTCCAATATTCGTCTCTCTCTTTCCCGTTCAATATCACGATCGGAGATTTGCTTTTCTTTAACCTTTGCTGAGGTCATTAATTTTTCTTCTTCACGTTTTCTGGCCTCCGCTCTTCTTAACTCTGGTCCACTTAGTTTACTCTTTTCTCGAGATGCTTTAATCCTTTCCAAATATTCTTGCATTTTCTTATCCACAGGTTTACCAAAAATTGCTTGTTTTCTTGCTTTCTCTTGTTGTTTTTTTCTCTCTTCCATTGCTCGATGAGCTTCTTGTTCCTTGGCCAATCTTTGCAATTCATCATTTGCTTTCTTAAGTCGTTCTTTGTCCATCTTATCTCGTAATTTCTTCTCAGCATCTTCCTTTTTCTTCATCAAACGTTCTTTCCTTTTCTGTGCCTTTACAAATTCTTCATCAGGCTCAGCTTTTTTACCATATTGTTTATATGGATTAAGCATCTCTTTAAATCGAGCCTCTTTGGCAGCTTCTTCTTCCTTCCTTTTCTTCTCCAGGTATACCTGAATTGCAGCTTTATTTGGTCCTTGTTTCCCAGCCATGTTGTTAATATTTTATTCCTAAGCCTCAAGTGAAAATCAAGCAGCACCAAATAGAGAGAAATTTATCCGAAAAAGGGACAACACAAAAAAAGAGATAAAACACTAATCAAAGTTACGATTAATACACAACAATCAAAAGAGAATAGAAATTAGTATGGTGGTTAAATTAGGAACAATTTAATTGAACATTGATGATCCGTCATTGATTGAAAACACTTTCAAACTGGAATCACAATTTAAGAGTAAACATCTCATAGGGACCGTTTCCGAATATTCAAGAGAAAATAAATGAATTGTTCTAATTTTAATTAAAATTGTTTATTCTTTTAATGTATTTATAATTAATGATGATTATTTTTAATTGATTGATTAGTTCACCATTTTGACTGGTCTTTATGGTTTGTAAGTAAAACGAGATTAGAAATTTTGGTGAGATTTAATTGTTGTTGTTTGTTGATGATGATTTTGTTGTTTTTTTTGCTTTGCTTTTGTTTTACTATTAAAAAAAAATTAATTTATTTGATTGGTTTTCCTTTTGTTGTTGTTAATTAAGCATTGTATGTCTATCGTAGATGTTTTTCCTTTGTTCTGATACTTTTCTTATCCATTTGTGTTGTTCATGACCAATTACACCGATTACACTTTTAGATTGAGTGTAAGATAATTCTGGTTGACTTGTTGATTCAATTGATTCGGTTGAGCTTCGTTTAGGTCCAGTTTCCACTAGCATTTCTTCATTGAAATGTTCCCGATAAGGCATTCGTCGGAAAACTGTTATAAATATAAAAGGTAAAAGAAGATAGAAGAAAAAGAGAATAGAATAAAATGAAAATTAGATTAATTATCAATGAAAAGAGGAGGATTTTCCAATGAGTGTAAGGTTACAACTTACTCTTACTCCAAAGCATATATGAGTCTAGAATTAGGATCAACATGTAAGCAACGAGTAACATGACTACTGTAATAACACCGATGATTGTATATCTAATTATCTCAGTGTTTCGAGATTCAAATCGGCATTCACAGAGAGGACAAAACTCCTTTGAACTGACATTTGACAGTTGAGGTAAAACTAGACCATCACAGTTACATTTAAGAGGTGGAACACTGTCAATGTAAACCTTTCGATCAATGTAGAAATTATTATAAGTATTTGAGTCCATAACATCAGAATTATAGGAAGTTACATCTTTATTGTTGTTGGAATTATTTGACTTGGATTGATTTCCTTGGGCTGTTGATTGACGAACAGGTAAACTATCATTGGCAACCACTCTCAAAGAAGGACAAACACATTTACACCTCTCGTTTTCATATTGTCCAACTGAAGATCCAACAAATAAACATAAGAAAAGAAAAAATATTGATTCCATTTTTGGATAAAAACACACAGCTAATTGTTACTTTAATGGCTCATCTACAGTTTCTAATTAATTGAAATTGTTTGGATTAAATTGACAATCAGATTGAAAGAACCAAATGAAACATGTAAACAAAAATTGGAGAACAAAAATTCTATTGGAGTTAATAGAATTTCCAATAGATGGCAGCACATCGATTCGAAACACGTTTTGAATTTTTTTTTTCTCTTCACATGTTTTGTCATTTAATTGTTTTCTTTTAATTGTTGTTAATTTATTGATTCTTTGAAATTATGGTGAGTAAATTGTTGCGTTTAATTTGTACGCGCTAGTTGGTTGAATAGAGATTGAGGTGTTTCGGTTGGATTGTTGACTGTGGAATTGTGGTTTTGATTTTTTCTTCTTCTTTTCTGTGTCTTGGAATTTTTTGTTGTTTTCTTTTGATTTTTGTTATTTGATTTGTTTTATTTTTCTAATTTTATTTTTGTTTTGTCTTTGGGTTTTAGGTTCGAACAAAGTTTGAGGAGGTTCAAGAGACCAAGGAACAGTTGTTGATTCCTACTGATAAAAAATGGTGGAGTTTAAGGCCCGATTTTTCTGCGAATAAAAATAGTACCGCCGTTATTTCGGATGTTGGTAAATTGCGAGAAGAAGCTGAATATTTAATGAGAATTGAGCGAAAAAAATATGTCGCTTATAAACAAGCCACAGATAAATCTGACTTTAATTGGATCAATTCGGTTCTCACTGGTGGTACCTTTGCCGATAGATTGTCAGCCAATACTTTGTTGATTCAAGATTCACCGGTTCATAATTTATTCTCTTTGCATAAGTTGATTGATATTGTTAATTCTAAAGGAATTAGGGAATGTTTAATGGCCTCAGATAATTTAAAGGATCTTTTTATCGGTAATCTGTTGTTGAAAGATAAAAAGATGAAACCGTTTAAAGGTGAGAAATTTTCAATGCAAATGAACGAATACAATAGAAATAATTTTGTTTAATTCTCTTTTTTTTCTTTGTTTCCAAAACAGAATTAATCGCTTATTTGCCACCCAAAGATGGTCCACTTAGGAATAAATTGCTGATTCTTTTCTACTTTGAAGATCAATTGTTGACTGAATATAAACGATTCCTTGATATTTTGGCCAAAATTTCAATAGATGGAAATGATTCCGTTAAAAGTAAAGCAGTTAACGTTATGTGGGAATTACTCTGTCAAAGACCTGAACAGGAATCATTCATATTAGAGAAATTGGTTAATAAACTTGGAGATCCAGTTCCTAAAAGAGCTGCTCATGTAGCTAAATTACTTGGGAAATTAGTTAATCAACATCATCCGAAAATGAAAGAGACCGTTGTTAAAGAGGTTGAATTGTTATTATTCCGTCAACATATTCCAGAATTGGCTCAATTTTATGGACTTTGTTTTCTAAGTCAAATTTTATTAGAGCCCAGGGACAAAGAATTAGCCAGTCGAATGGTGAACATTTATTTCAATTTTTTCGACTCAGCAACAAAAAAGACAAACAAAGATGTTAAAAATAGAATGATGAATGTTTTAATTACTGGACTTACAAGAGCATCTCCTTATGCGACAATGGAAGCGGAAATATTGGAGAAACGTTTAGAATCTTTTTACAAAGTAATTCATTTAGTTAATCAGAATACTGCTGTTCAAGGGATGGTGTTAATCTTTAATTTAATGGAAACCAAAGAGTCCGGACTAATTAGTGATCGACTATACACTTTACTCTATCGAAGTCTACTCGAGATTAACATGGAAACTTGTACGAGGCGAGCTCTTTATCTCAACTTATTGTTCAAAGCAATGAAAAGAGATTCGATTCCTCACCGAGTTAAAGCATTTCTCAAGCGACTTTTACAGGTCAGTTGACTACAATTCCATTTATTTTAAATTCTGTTTTGGTAACATATCTAATTAGTATTAATTTTTTATTCAAATTCTATTATATTGACAGATTGCTCTTTACCAACCACCTTCAATCGTTTGTGCGATTATGGTTTTATTGTCTTCGTTGGTGAAGTCCAAGCCTGAATTATTGTCGACATTTAAACCTGCACGAGTCGCAACCATTTGTGATGAGCAAGATGAAGATGAAAAATATGAGGATATTGAATTAGATGAAGAAGAGGAAGAGAAAATTTTGAAAAAACAAAAAGGTAAACAGAATAGTAAAGTTAAAAAAGGAAAAGATTCAAAGAAAAATTCTACCAAGGAAAAGGAGGTTAAAAAAATGACCAAAGAGGATGATGAGGCCAAAAAAGCGTCAACTTCTTGGGTTCATAATGCAAATTTGAAGAAAGATCAAGAATCTTCTGGTGATTATGATTTAATGGCAAGAAATCCGTTGTTTGCAAATACCAAGTTCTCCGTTAATTGGGAATTGACTTTATTGCGACATCATTTCCATCCTTCAGCTAATATGTTTGCCCAGAAAACGATTGATGGTGAAAGTATCGATTATGATGGTGATCCTTTGCAAGATTTTACATTAAAACGTTTCATCGATCGATTTGTTTTCCGTAATCCAAAGAAAATAAATCGACAACAAGCCGCTCAATCATCTAAAAGTACATTGTTCGCCCGATTAAACAACAGCGTGGTAACACCGATCCAAGAACTGTCAAAATCAAACAAAACAAGTGTACCATTGGAGGAACAATTTATTTACGATTATTTGGTTCAAAAGAATAAAGAAATCGAAGATCGAGAGAAAGATGATGACAATGAAAGTGTTGCAAGTGAGGATTTCGAGCGACTTTTACGAAAAATCGAACCGAACCTGGATAATGATGACGATTTCATGAAGGTGAAAAAGGATAAACGTAAAGGAGGTGATGATGAAAGTGGAACTGATGATTCAGATGATGACATGTTCAGCGATGATGATTTCGATATCGATTCGGATGATGATTATTATCGTGAAGCTTTCGATGGTGTTGATGAAGATCTTGCTAATGCTCAATATGATGATAAAACAACTTTCCTATCAGATGATGATGTTGAAGAGGTTGATAGTGATTTAGAAATTGGTGAAAGTGATGAAGAGGACATGGAAACATCAAGATTTAAACGAAGAGGTCGAGATAAAAATCTTGTCAATCTATTTGCTGCTGCGGATAAATTTTCACACCTTTTAGAAGGTAAAGAATCAGATGATGAAAAGAAAAATGGTTCCGATGATGAAGATGATAATGGAAATAATAGAAAACGAGGAAAACGTAAACCACCAAGTAAAAGGAGCAACAATCAAAAAGGAAAAATGAATCGGCAAAAGAGACGACGATAGAATCATCATCATCGCATCACAATAAATTTAATTCTAAGTTTTGTTTCTTTTTCTAAAATCCACGTGTAAATTTATTATTTGTTAATACACTTGAGTAAAGAAAACACCACAATTAAGCTCTAATTGTTGTTCTATTTGTTAATTGTTGACCAAACTTGATCAATATACTTGGCCAATTTGATGTCTTTCTCGGAAAGACCACCAACATCATGGGTTGAGAGTAGAATGTTCAATTTATTGTAACAATTAAACCATTCGGGATGATGGTTCATCTTTTCAGCTTTCAAAGCAATCGAAGTCATGAATCCAAAGGCTTGAATGAAATCTTTGAAAATCAATTCCTTTCTAATTGCATCTCGACCAGAATTATCCATCACCCATCCATCCTGAAGTAGAGGTTTCAACAGCTGATCTCGCTCTTCACTGGTCAATCCTTTTGGAGACATTTTCTTACTATTATTCTTGATTTTATCAGCTAATTGATTAGTTACTGATGATGATGAAGATTGGGAAGAAGATGAATCACAATTAAACAAAATTCTATTTGAAGAAAATTTTCTATTCAATGAAAAATCACCAACAAAATGAGAGACACAATTGGTTAAGTGAACGTTTGAAGGAATCAATTGTTTCTGATAAAGAAAAAGATTAGAAAACAATCTGATTGTCATTTGATGGAAATTAAACACTAATTAGAGTAGAAATTATCAAGATGAAGTAAATTAAACACTCCAAGTTATTGCAATCAATTTAATCTTCAAGAGAGAAAAAGAAAAATTCAATTGAAGGAACATATGATTTCCAATGTAAACAAAGTGAGTTTTTCTTTTTTCTTCAAAATTGTTACAATTCAATTTTCGAGGTTTTTATGAATTTAGAATTTAGAATTATTTTCAATGGATTAATATTATTCGCGTTTCTCTTATTATTAACTCTTATCAATAACTGATTAGCTTGATTGGCGATCAGCAATTTGATAATTTCTTGATAAAATACTTTTTTTTTCTTAAAATTAATCAAAAATCTAATCATTTTCTGAATCTCTCTGTCTTCAAATCTCATTGACATTTAGATTCTTGGACTAATTATATTAAATTCATTCCTTTTTTTGACTGTTAATTGTTCTACTAATTAATGTGTAATATTTGCAAGTGATCACATTCATCAATTTTTTATTCCATCATTTTAATTGTGATCATAAACCTCGATGAACAATTAACGTTCATTTATTTTTACTGATGTTTTGTTTATCATAACCAAATTTTCACAATTGACCAATGCTCATTTTTTTGTATCTGATGAACTTTCTGAGTGACAATTCAATTTTCGAGGTTTTCTTTTCATTTCTCCAATCAAATGCCTGAGGATAAATCTTGCAACTTAAATTCATATTAATACTTCATCTTCTTCTCTTCATCATCATCCCTTTCTCTTCCATCCTCTTCTAAATTTCTCTTTCTTTTTTCTCTTTCTTTCTGTTTCTCTTTCAACCGGATTGACGACTTATCAACTTGCAAGGTTTTCGCTTTTTCTTCATCTTTTTTTCTTCTTCTTCTTCTCTGGTTGTTTGTTGACATGGTTGTTAAACTTTTCTATTAAAAATTCACCTTAATCAGTTAATCATGTTTCCATATCACCTAATCCACCCTCTGATACTGTTAATTTAATTGTTTCCAATTTCTATTCTCCCTCTCTCTCTCTCTCTCTCTTTTGGAATTATCTTTTTCCAATCAACTGTTGTTTACTTTTCAGTGTCTACAGTTTGTTGATTGATTTTCAACTGTTTTTCCTTTTTGTTTGTGAATTTTTCTTAAATTAATTGTGAGAATTTGTTTCATGTGGTAAAAGGTGTGTTCATTTAAATTCCAAATCAATTTTTCTCCCATTATTCTTGATCATTCATCACCTTAATCTCCAATTAATCTTGAAACTCCTTCCCAATGGGTTACCTTTTTTTCTGGTACAAGTTCAACTTTACCTTAACCACTTGTTGCCCTTTTATCAGCTGAACCTTTTTCCATTCACTACCCTTTGACTTTTCATTTTTCTTTTAATTTTCTATCATCATCATCTTCTTCTTCTTCTTCATCATCTTCTCCATTGATACCTGGTTAATCTTCTCCATCATTCTGATCGTTTTCTTCTTACGCCTTTTTCTTACTTTCATTTTCTTGGTTTTCTTTTTCCACTGTGAGAGACTTTCCTTTAGATAGAAGAAAAAATTTCTTAACCATTTCATGTTTTCTCATCATTCATCTCCTCTCTCTCTCTCTCATTTTCTTTCTAATCCCTTCATCATCTTCATCATCATCATCATCGTATCGTCCGCATCCAACTACATGTTATTTGTTCATATTTAGTGTAAATCATTTTAATCGGTTCTGAGTAAAAGTTAAAATTAGCTGAATATTTGGAAACTTTTTCCATCTTAATGTCTTCCTTTTTTTGTTTCTGATTTCATTCATCATGATTTTCCAATTTCTTCATCATGATTAACCATCATTGAAACTTATTCTCTCATTGTCTTCTAATGAACTTTCATTTTTTTTTTCATTCATTCACAGTTCCATTATAATCCATCCTCCGATTCATCTTTTGTTTGTCATTCTCATAAACTAACTATGGGTTAGTATTTGTGGACATTGGAATCTCATTTTTTTTTCTTTGACAAAACGGACAATCAATCACAAATTTCTCTTCACCTCAATTAACTCAATCTCCAATAATCATCGCTAATAACATGCATCAACTATTCGTTGAGGTGTTAACCAAACGGGATCTCTCTCGAGCTGGTGATCTTTTCTCAATTGAAGATAAAAGCATCGTACCTGATTTATCAGTTCTAATCAATGAGATTCAAAGGATTTCCAGTTCCAGAGATTTTAACAAAGTTAACAACGATCAAAGTGTTATCGAAATATGTTTAGCTCGAATTACATCTGCAATTAGGTTAGTTAATTAGTCACTTTATCCTTGTTGCTATTAGCAATTCAAATGTTTCTCTCTTTCTCTCCATCCAGAGATTCAGGTACCATTGAAGAACATGCTCCAGCCTTGGTTTCCCTGTTGGAATCATGTCTCTCCCATGACCTTAAGCCAAATAAAAAGGACGAGGATCCACCTCATGCCAAAATAGCTTCCGATGTTGTCTCTTGTATTTTTCTTAATCACACCAAGAAATCGCTTATGCGAATCGCTGTTCCCGTGGCCATTAAGCTTCTCCATCGAGGTAACAAAGAGTTGAGCCGAAATTTATCAAGTTATCTTTCTCTTGCTGCCATTAATAATTCTGAGGTACTTTCACCTCACATTCAACCAATTATCGATTCAATTATTGGTGGTAATTATTCACTGGTTCGAGTTTTACCCAAAATCTATTCCGTTAACAAGGAACCCATTCACGATCATGTGATGGCTCTTGTCTCTCTTTTACCTCAATGTGATACACCTGAGAAACTTTCGCTTCTTCACCTTTTCGCACTCATCTCGAAAAATAAACCCTCCATCTTGGAATCTAATTTACCACAATTTAGTGAGTGTTTAGCTCAATCGCAAACAGCTTATCAAACGTTACAAATTTTCCTTGACATGGCCAATGTTGACCCTCGACCTTTCGTTGAATATGTTGGCCAGGTTATCGCTGCTTGCGAATTACAAAGTGGAATGTTATCAATTGCGGCACAATTCTTGGGTATTATCGGTAAACAGGATATCGAACAAGCTTGTGATTGTGTTCGTTTTCTTACCTCGCAATTATCTCGATCCGATTTATCAACAACCATTACACTTTTACGAGAAATCAAGTCGATTGTTGAAGTTTTCCCTACCTTGATACCATCATTTCTGAATCAAATTCTAGTACAAACCGAAAATAGTACCTCAGCCACTGTTCAAATTTACCTTCAACAATTGAATACTCTTAATCAACAGGTAACCTCTTCCAATGCCATCACCGTAGTTCGTGTTAATTGTGATAACAATTTAAAAGTTTCACCAGTAGGGTTAGGAGGAAACACTGGAAGCAATCAGTTAACCACTACCACTGGTTTGACTGATTCCCAAATATCAACTTCATCTTCTTCCGCTCATCATCACCATCAACCTCGTTCAAAAGGAATCTATTCATTCTCATCCAATGCTCCCTCTTTCCATCATCGTAGTGTCCCCAGGTCATCAAATCTTCACGGTATCTCATCAATTTCATCTTCCTCATCAACTGGACAATCTCATTCACTTCATCAGCACCACCATCAACCACAACATAGTAGTATCTTCAGCCACTCTGGACATCCTCATTCGTCGACTTCATCGACAAACGGCTTCTATCGATCCATGACTACCCTTGGACTTCCCAGTTACTCTTCCCGACATCAGGTCAATCGTAGGTCAATCGAGAGCATAATGGCCGGAACGACAGCGTCAAGCTCACAGAAAAGTGCCTCATCGTCTTATCTTCTTGCTCTCCAAGAAAAGGAATCAGCCGCTGCCGCTGCATCCAAATCAAAAACTGTCGCCACTTCCGTTGACTCTCAACTTCAAGGTACCAATGCGGTTTTCTCGTCAACCTCTTCTTCTCATTATAATATTGAAAATTCCCGTCTAGAGGGTATTTCAAACAGTTTAAACTCTAAACTCAGGTCAACCTCATCAGGTGAACATCTTAAACAAAGTCGAACCTCTCTTCTTGAACCTTATCCCATGAGAGACGCTGTTCAACATTTTTGCGAGAAACACATCGATAAGATCAAAGCTTATATGCAGAAAATTTCAGTCAAGATTCCGTTACCCGTTAAATGTACCATAGAGGAAAAGAAGGCCAAAAAACTTGCCAAATTACATTTCGTTTGTCAAGGTAAAGGAACCAATTGTTTGTACAGTAAAACCTTTTTCACCATGAAAACCCGAAACGCACGAATATGGATTCACTTAATGTTTCTAGCACTTCAGGCCAAAGCACCGACAGCCTTGTGTACCAATGAGGCTTCCGTTAATGCATTGAAAAATTGTTGGGACACCTTGAAAGCGGATAATAAAACTTTCCTCACCTTGGTGACCTCATCTTTCCCTGCGACCAAAGATCAGGATCTTTTAATGAACGAACTTCGATCTTCCCGATATTTTGATGTTTTCGAGTTCAACGCTCTCAATAATATCTGGGGTTGTTTTCTCTGTAATCATCCAGATCGTGCTACCGAATTTTTGCAAAATTCTGAGCCCGTTATCCAAGGCCAATTGAAAGAAAAGAAAGGAAAATGGAAACTTTTCCGTCGATGGCGAACTCATTATTTCACCTTATCGGGACTTCATTTATCTTACAGAGAATCGGTCGGTCTTTAAATTAATTAAATTCTTACTCTCGTTTCTTAAATTGCTTCCCTGATTCTTGGTGGAACTTTTTGTCTTCGTTATTCTTGTATTGTCTTAATGGCGAAAAGTTTAGTCATCCAGAATGATTAATCTTCCATTAAGTTTTATTCCAACAGAGATTCAATTGTTTGATTGTTTTCTAACTTTTAATTTCTCAGATTTCTAAATTGTTATTATCTCTCCGATTGTGATACTCATCAAATCTTCATCAATGCATTGAAAAGAGAGAGGAAAAAAATCATCATCATTAGAATTGTTCAGATCTCTGAAAGTAATTATATTAATTACTTTTCTTTCAACAATTTATTTTCTTATAATGTTTTTAATTTACTTTCTATTGAATCACTTAATTAATTTTATCTTTCAAATAGGTAATCAAATACATTAACCAGATTGTGAAGCAATTTAAGAAAATGAGAATTGGGAGAAAAAAAGTTAACTGTGATAATTATTGATTTTATCTAATTGAAATTTATACTTTTTCCTCTAGAAAGACACCAAAGAAACTCAGCCGATCGAAATCGGGGAAATATTAAGCGTCAAGGCGATTCCCAGTTCCAAAGGACGAACCATTCCCAAAGCGTTTGAAATTTTCACCAACGAGGATAAAACTTATGTCCTGAAGGCAAAAAATAGTCTCAATAATGAACAATGGGTTCAATGTTTATCCATAGCAATGGCACATTCGCAGGCAAAGGATACAAACGGTTGAACAATTAACCATAATCACCTTTGAGAGGATAATCAAAATAAAAGAATCAAATTGAACGATGAAAATCAAATCAATAATCAACTAATAATAACAGTGATTGTTTGTAAACATCATCAGCTGATTGCATTTGTTTATTATGTGAAAAAAAAACATGATAATAATCATGATTATCATTGATTATCCAATATTTATGTATTTTATTGGATGGATGCAACAATCAACAATTAATGCTAATGAATTACAACCATACAATTAAGCTAATCTTTTCTTGAGTATATGCAATGAATTACAAGAATATGATTAATCTTATTGTTTTTTTGCGACAATTAATCTACTATCTAAATGTTATCTATTTTGATTCTGTTGAAATCTATTTTTCCCTGAAATTTGATTCACATGATAATTAAGTATTTTTGTAACAATTAGAGAGATGAAAAGAGAGTGGAAACTAATGTTTAATTGTAACAATTAATCAATTTTCTCTCTTTCACTCTTTATATTTCTCTTTTATATTTTTCCAATTCTCTCCTAACAATTAACAACCTATTTAAATTACTTTCTCATGTTTGTAAAATATTTGGATAATTGTTAAAATCTAATTGACTTTTTATTGAATTACAACTGAATTAAATTTGTACCCAAAGTATTAACATTTTGATTATAATGAAAAATGGCCAGACCACAAGTTCATCCCATTAACGAAAACATTAAGAACTTAATTCTCGAATAATTGACAAAGATTAACATTGAACAATTAACTAATTGTGTCAACTTTTTGAAGAAAAAAACCGGCCTACAATATTTAATTAGAATACGATCCCTATGAGTTTTTGGAAATTTTTTCAAATTTATTTTTCAACTTGTGTATTCAATTGTTTTGTATTTGATTTTGATTAATTAATTGATTTAGTTTAGTCGGTGAAGATAATTTATGATTGGGTTTTGATTAGTTTAACTCTTTGGCCATGGGAACTCCTATGGAAATTTCTTCAACCACTCCTGATGTTCATGGTTTCATTGATTTGGTTTTGGTGAGTTTTCCTTGGCTTTTTTTTTGTGTTTTACTTTCAAACACTTGAGATTTTTTAATTGGTCATTAATTTTGATTGTTTTTTTTCTTGTTCTTTTTGCCATTTGAAACATTCTAGAAAACCGAATCACTGGAATCAACATTTGCGGGTTTCATTATTGAATCAACTGTTAACAATGAGTTGAAGATGAAAAGCTATGAAGAGAAAATGACTTCTCTAGTTATAGAATTGGATTCTCCGGAAAAGATTGAGTTCATGTTACGAGATTATATCAATGAAACTGCTTCGATTCCTAATGTGAATAAAGTTAAATTGTTACTTGGCATGTTGGAATTTGCTATCAATAATCATCTACTACCTGCCAAGTAAGTTTCTATTCTCTTGGATAATTTGATCAAATTCTAAAATCATTTTCTATTTTTCTTTCTTTTTCCAGAGCGGTTTGTGAGGCTATTCTTAATTCTAAGCATTTACATATTGGGAAGCAAATCTTTTTCTGTGAATCGTTTGAATTAATTCATCGGATAGTTTCTCATGTAGACTATAAAGGTGTCAGAGACATCATAAAGTTCATGATTGAGAAAATGCATACAATCCCTATCGATGCAAATATTGCTATTCTACCGCAACTTGATGTTATGAGAAAGGTTAGTAACTCATTTCTTAAGAAACATGGACCAGCAAATTCTAATTATTCTTATTTCAATTAATTCTTTCTTCTACCAGGTTCTCGACTATACTCTAAATCGCAATTCTTCACTTTTACCTGCTTATTTGGCTTTCGATGAGATTCAAAAAAAGTCTGACAAATGGATGCATTGGGTTCGTAAGGCTTTAGACTTTCTTTCTTTTGAAAATTATTCTATTTTGTTTTATTATAATTATTTCTTGTTTTCTCAATTTTCCAGAAATTCGCTGATTTGATCTCATTTTACGTGGAAAGTTTCCGTCCAGTTGCTCAAATTGTTTCCATTATCGGTCGATCCAAACTTTTACCTATTGTTGGCTATTCGTCGACACTCAATCAATCCTGGCAACTAAATCCAGTCTCGGCGAAATTTCAACTTAAAGGACTTTTACCTTACAGTAAAGAGCTAACCGAACCTCAGACCAGCATATTGAAGTATGTTCTTGAACAGCCTTATTCTCGGGATATGATTTACTTTATGTTAAGTTTAACAAGTAAAGCTAAATCTCGATGTCCCATTTTGGAGGAGCAGTTAATTTCATTGATTGTCATGGCCATGGAAAAATCTGAATCTGAACAATTGACCGCCGATGGTACTGATAGTGCTAGTCAAACATTATGCTTATGGCAAATACTTTCCTGTCATTTGATTACCTTTATTATTTTAAATCACATCAGTTTCCCTCAATTGGTTCGTACATTAACCGATCTATTGGCGGCTAGAAATTTAAGAAAAGGTCGTGATCATTTAATGTGGGTTCTTCTTCAATATATCTCTGGATCAATTCAGAAAACACCATTAGTTGATTTTCTACCCTTTCTCAAACTTCACGATTTACTTTATCCAGAGAAAGATCCTCTCCCGGTTCCCGATATCACCAAGTCTATAAGTACTCATGGTTTTGCCATTTCCTCCATTTGGGTTAGTTTAATCAAAAAAGCGGAAAGTGATCCTCAAAAATTAACTAGACCAATACCCAATTGTCTTAAATTGCACATTGAATTCCTTCAACAAGCCATTTTGTCCAACAATTTAGCGGCAAGTTTAGGTGCTGACTTTAAGATTCCCGTTATTTGCAATGCTTATTCAACCGTCTCAGAAAACTCTACTCGGACAATGACCATCATGATTGATTCAATCAAATCAAATTCTAGAAGTGGAGGATCAAACAATGGCCAAGTCGCAATGACACCGCTTTCGGTAGCCTTATTGGACTCGATAACTTTACACACCAAGATGAGTTTGATACATTCAATTGTGAACATTATCACCAGAGCAGTTAACAGTAAAGATGCTTCAGCAATCTCACCCGCCTTAGCGGAAACTTATGCTCGATTATTGATTTACATTGAACTTGAAACACTCGGTATTAAAGGTTTCATTCAAGGATTAATACCAAATGTGATTAAAATGCAATGTTGGGGTGTCTTAAATATCCTACTGGAAATGTTTATCCATCGATTACACCATATTTCCGCACCCTATCGAGTACAATTTCTAAACCAACTTCACCATTTAGCTAATTTACCTCACAGCAATCAAATTCAACTAAATTCATGCATGGAAAGTACTGCTCTTAAATTGATCATGGGATTTACATCAACTGAAGTTCTTCTTATAACTCAACTTAATCGCTATCAAAATGAACCCAAGATCAGGATATCCCCTGATTCTGAAGAGTTGAACAAAGTTTTAATTCTAACATTGGCTCGAGCCATCCATGTAACGGGTTGTGATTCTCTTGTCGAATGGTGTAAAGAATTACTTGCTAATATAATGCAAAGTACTCCACTTAACTGGTCAAGTTGTACACTTAAATGTTTCCCTCCGGCGATTACTGAATATTATCAAAAGTTTACCACCGTCAAGGAAGATAAAGACACACTGAAACAATCAGTTGAAGAGGAATATCGTAAATGGATAACCATGTCCAATGAGAATGATATTGTTCAACATTTCTCAATACAAGGAACAACTCCAGTCTTTTTATGTCTTTTATGGAAAATGTTACTCGAAAATGATCGAATCAATCCAATTGCGTACAAAATTCTGGACAGAATTGGAGCCAAATCTTTATCAGCCCAACTCAGAGTCTTAGCCGATTTTCTTGTCTACGAATTTTCAAATCTCTGTGGTCAACACAATTGCACCAAATATGTCGATAAACTAAACGATCTTATCTGGAAAAGTCACATTATAACATTGGATAGATTTTTATTGTGTTTGGTAAAGTTTTTTGGCGAAATTTTTTTTTTTAAATTGCTCAAATTTAAATTCTAATTGTTTCTTCTCTAATAATTTGTTCTCATCTCTTTCTCTTTCCATAGACTTTACGAGCATACGAAGGAAATGAAGCTCAAGTTTCTCTTTTTATCATTCAAATGTTATTGTTGAAAACAAGTGATTTCCCTAATCGAGTTGCTGATTTTGTCAGGGAAATGTCACCAGAACATTGGAAACAAAATAATTGGCATGAGAAACATATCGCTTTACATAGAGTAAGTAATCTGATTGTTTACCAATTAATGTTAATCAACTAATCAATACATTAACATGGATTAACCTTTTATCGGATTTAAAATAAGTCTCTTTTTTTCATAAGACTAAAAGTGTTTATTTTGGTTTAGATCATGTTAAAACTTTGCCTACTAATCTCCTTCCAATTTTCGCCTTTAACTATTGTTTAAAACTTTCTCAAGTAATTAACAATTAACTGGCCTTTTATTTTGTACTCTCACTTTATTATATCGGCTCAAATTATATATGTATTTCTGAAAATTTGAGAACGTATAATTTAACTTATTTAACTATTAAGTTTATTTACATTTTCAATTTACTGATATTTGTTATAATTTATTTTTTTCTCTCTCTTTCTCTCCTTAATTAGAAATATCCTGAAAAGTTTTACTTTGAAGGTCTCGCTGATATAAGTGGACAGAATATGCAACATTCTTACTTACCAACTTATTTTAGTAACATTTGCCTTCGATTTCTTCCTGTTCTCGATTTGATTACCCATCGTTACCTTGAATTACCAACGGGATCACTTCAAAGTCCACTCATTGATACTTTACTCGAAAAATATGGTTGCCTGTACAAATTTCATGATAGACCGATAACTTATCTTTATGATACACTTCATTACTATGAGCATAAGCTTCGAGAGAGGCCAGCACTCCGTCGGAAACTTGTATCAATTGTAATTGGTGCATTTAGAGATATTAAACCAAAAGATTGGTCAGTTACCGAAGCTTATCTTAACTATATGAGACGTCCAAATGAGGATGTAGCTTGGACTCCCGATTTAGATTATTATTTCAAGTTAATCAGCAGGTTGGTTGATACTTTCCAAGGTAAATCTCCTTTCCCTCAAGTTGACTGGCGGTTCAATGAGTTTACAAATTGTGGTGTTCACGCTCTTCATATTACCTGTATTGAACTGATGGCACTTCCAGTGGCAGCTGATGTTGTTGCAAACAATTTAATTGATCTTGTGGTTGTTGATCATAAATATATTCCTCGAAATGCTATTGAACATTGGAACAATGCAATTGGTATTGTGTTGACCGCTCTCCCTGAGCCCTATTGGTCTGTTCTCAATGATCGTATCATCTCAATGATGGATAATCCACTTTTAGCTTATTCTCCTCATTCTGAACCTTTCCATCTGATGAACTTTTCCGGTAGCCATAGGTCAATGTCAGAAATGCAGCCAAGCTACTTGATTGCCTTGAGCCATTCATTTTTCCATCATGCATCAATCGGTCAAATTACACCGATACCCCAATTTTTACGTGAACGAGTTAAACCAGTGATTAAAACGGAAGAGCAGTTACTTTTTATCATGCACATTGTTTGCCCATTTTTACAGCGACTTTGGGCTGAACGGACACGTAAAGCAATGGAAATTACCATTGAATTATATTCACTTCTTGAAACTATTGATAATGAGAAATTATGTCCCAATCTCCGTTTCATGGATCCTATTTCTGACCTTTTGTATCACATGAAATATCAAATTACTGGTGATATAGTTAAAAACGATATCGAAGGTAAAATTCGTAATCTAAGGCCAGCATTACAAAAGCGACTTCGTTTTATTACCCATCTTAACATTGAACCAAATGCAACATAACCCTCATTCCATTATCTATTATAATTATCATCAAATTGTCACAATTTGTTGTCCAAATCACCGTCAAAATATTAATAACCATCAACAAACATCAACAACAGACAACAACAAGTAAACAAACATAAACAACTCAAATGTACATAGTAAACAATTGTAAATGTAAACAATTCCTATTGTAATTTATATTAATCGTACAGTGAACATTTTTGAAATACTATTTATATCAAAGGAAGGAGAAAACAATCAACATTGATTCAAATTATATTGATTGATTGATTTTATCATCAGTTAATCTACTATGAAACAATTAATGTAGACGATAAAGTTGATAATTAACAACGTAACAAATTATGATAATATTTTTGCTCAACTTTTACTAACTTTGTATTGTAGTATTTAAATTGTTGTAATTACGATTGAATCTCTTATTTTCATCCTTCGGACAATTAACTTGATGAGCAATTTCACTGACCCATTTAAATTTAAAAACTACTTTGATTACATTTTCACAATTAATTAGCATTTAAATTTGAAGTTCAACCAGAGCATCAAATTGTAATAATCAAGAGAAACATAAAAAATTGGAAACAAATATCAAAATTAACTCAAGTTGCTCTCTAAATAATAATAAGAAGAGGAAAAGTTTTGTTTACAATTAACAAATGAAAAAACTAATCGACAATCAACTAACTATTGAGCTTTTTTTTTACTCTCCATCAATCAAGTAATCAATTAATTGTCTATGGATAAGCTAATCAAGGTAACATGATCAACACATTGACCTAATTGAAGTTTAAAGTAAAATCTTAGTAATTAAATTGAGAAACAATTTCCGTTCTCAAGTAATTAAAAAGCTTAAATTGTTTATTCGTTAACGATTAACCTTTATACTCAATTATTAATTTCTTATTAATTTCTGAATCTTATTTTCAGGTCAATGTCCGTTCCGATTATTTTGGACTATTAAATTTTACTGTATTTTTATATGTGAACACTTTTGCGTTAATTGTTGGTAATATTTTTAAATCTCTACTTTAATTGCGATCTGAAATTAACAGTTAATAAAGTAGTTAACCAAGCAAAAATGATGAATTTGATTGTGAAGATGATCAATGGTCAGTGATTTAGTTAATTATGTTACCGTGTCGGCCTACAAGAGTAATTAACAATTAGATCTGGAAGAAAAAGTTAATCATTATAAAGAAAGGGAATCTTTAAATTGTAATAGATTAAAACTAAAATTGTATTAATTATATTTAATTGTAATGCTCACTTGATGATTTGTGAGCCTTTAATCATAACAAAATGTACTCACATTTGATCACAATTTGTTCAACAATCAAGGTAAATCTTTTCAAAGATGAGTTTCAATTTTTCCAAGTTTCAATCATTATCATTATTATGTTCAATTTTGATAATCAATTGATCATTTTCATGGTATCATCAATATCTACTAATCAAGACTCATTGATTAATCACTAATCGTCCCAAATAATCAGTTAAATCGTTGAAAAGAGGTTCAAAATTTAATCGTAATTTAAGATTATCAATTGATCGTGTTTATTTCCGTGTCAATCCAACAATCAATTTGTATAATAACAAAAATGGACCATAAAACTAATCACAATCAACAATCAATTTCCACAATCATGTTAATTTTATTCTGTTTATTAAATCTAAGTGTTCTCGTTAATGGTAATCATGGTCATCTTCATCATCTATTTGGACTAAGCAATCGACAAAAGTACGATTTCGCTAAAAAAGTGGCCGCCGCTCTGTTCGTCTCGTATCGAGCAAAAAAGTTTCTTCTTCCAGTCCCATTTCCGATTCCAATACCCGTTCCGTAAGTTAATCAATTGTTTCCAATTTCTTTAATTATTATAAACAAAGGTTTCCCAAGAGAATCAACAATTAACCTTAGACAACAAGTTAATTTACTTTGATCGTGTTGAGAGTTAACTTCAAGGTACTTGAAAAGATTACAATCAATTAGACAATTAAGTAAACACAACAAATCGAATCAAGAAAAATCAATCGATAAATCATTAACTATTATTACTTTGTATTAATAGAGAGAGAAACAAACAAAAAGAGTCAAAGTTACATAATTTACCTGAGAAATTAACTAATTACCTTTTCTCAAAGGTGTAAACTAAACAGTTTCAATTATCTTTACAACGATTAATTGTTTTAATTGGTTTTTCTCAAAGGGTATTTGAAACTTATCAACCTGTTGTTGCTGATCCGCTGTACTTTAAATGGTTAACAATTAAAAATCACATTGGATCACCCGGTGGAGTTGCTAATTTGGGTGTACATGGTGGTACTGGTCTCGGTGGAGGATTACATGGTCTTGGATGAACTTGTATCAGTTTTTGTTTCATTTTATTATTCAAGTTTTGCAGAATTTAAAATTTTTTTTCGTATAATTATTACAATCAATGATTAAATAAATTTAATTGTTATGTAGAAAAAGAAAACCGTTTGTTGAATATATATAAGAGTGTTTTTTCAGGTTATCTGATTAACTCAAATCATTGGATGATATGGAGTTGAGATAAAGGCAATTTTTTTGTGTTGATTTCAGCAGGAAAAAAAAAACTCTCAGGGATTAAAATAGCATGTGTAAAGTGAGAAATGTTGATTACGATGGAGTCATTAAGTGGACTGTATGTGTGAGTTGTTGTTGTTGCTGTTGCTGAAATTGAAATTGAAATTGTAGTTGTTGTTGCTGTTGGTGTTGTTGCTGCTGTTCTTGTTCTTGTTGTTGTAGATGAAGTTGTTGTGGATCATGATGAATGATGGAGGAAGTTGAAGGTTGCGAGGGAGAATCAACAATTATATCGATGAATGTATCCATTTCGGGTTGGTCATCGATAGAAGTGGTTTCTTCAAAATAACTGCCCATCAAATCCCATTCATCAAGGTTACGTCTTGATTCACCTTCCAATGATTGTTGACGAGCAGTTTTACGTTCTCGTTGCCAAACCAAACGAATACGATCTTTAAAACTAAGATCCTTGTTGTTCTTATAATTTCGAGAACGAGTAGTCGACATATTGAACTAAACAGAACAATAAACACAAAAGAATGAGAAATAATGAGAAAAATGAAGTGAAAGTGAGGCGAGATAAAAGTGTATTAAAATAAAAACGAAATAAAAAGCAATGTGATGAAAAAGAATTAAAATTATTTACAAATGTAGAAAGATGAACAGAGAAAATTAAGGTTCAACAACAAATTTAACTCGATTGTTGAACAGTTGATTGTCTAATGAACTGGAAATAATTAACTATCAACTTAAATAAGGAACAATAAGTTAACAGTAATCAAGGAAAAAGCAAAGTTTGTTTATCAAAACCAAAGAGTTAATGTTGATATAGAAGGGGAAAAGTAGAAAGAGGAAAAAGAGGGAGAACAAAGAAAGAAAAAAAATTTGGCGCCAAATTCAATCTTCTAGTAGAATCCTGATTTTCGGTTGGATTTTACTTGTATCTTTAATCGGCAATCTAATCATCATCGTTAATTAGATTATAATCCATTCTTTAGGTAAATAGGTTAATCTCAAGTAGATTTTTGTGTTAGAAATTATCAAATGACATTAGTAACCTACAATTTTTGTACTATCTTTAAATTGTAATCTGATTGTTATATTGATTAGTTTTCTTGGTTACTTTTCAATGATCTTGAAATTTAGATAAGAAAATGATTAATTGTGATTGATTTAACTAGAGATTGAAGTTTAATTTTGGTTGGTTAAGTTGATGAGGAAAATTTGGTGATACAAGTTTGCAAATTATCGAGTAATTAGTTGATTTTGATGTGAGTTAATTGGTTTGACATTTTGTTTGTAACCTTAGAGATTTAAATAAGAATGACAATTTTTTTCCAACTAAATTTATTAAGATTATGGATCGAGGATTATGGATTAAGATTATGGAGAGAGTTTAAAGGTTTATCAGATTGAAAGAATTGAGAGTGAAAAAAGGATTAAAGGTCTAGAGTGTTAATCCGTTGGAAATTGGATTAATCGTTTAAACTTTTTAATTCTTTTCATAGGAAGGGAGGGGAAATGGTCAAGGTATTAGGTCTTATAAAATCGAGGAGTTCGAGAAGTCGTTAGTTCATTTCGTCTTTCGATCGACAAACGTCCAGTTAATGGTCAGTTGTTTTATTATTTGACTTTTTGACGATTTTTTTTGTTCAATCTTGTCATCAAATTTTTCTATTCAATTTTTGAAATGTCTTCAATTTCGCCCAGTGATTATCAAGAGTCTATTTCATCGTCACCACCGCGATTGATTAGACCTCGAATGAGACTTTACATTCCGAAATCACCGATTATTGTTTGGACTGTGATCAATTTCACCAAATCATCTTCATCTCCGCCAACACCACCAACCTCATCAGAGAGCAGTCATGAACCTGAATCTTCAAATAATTCTGAAGATGAGTCTGAAACATCAGTTTCACCTTTGTCATCAAAATCATCATCACGATCATCCTTATATTCATCATCTCTTGCGTCTTCGCCCACAATTACACCTACTCAATCGCCCAGTCCCTCGGTCTATTCATCACCAGCCTCATCACCAGAATCAACTAACGGTAAAAGGAAATACACCTTGAAGAGCTTCAAACGATAAAAAGAAATCACAATCAACTCACCAAATTTATTCTACCAGTGCCAAAGTAAATCATGTAAATTTCACATGAAGATTTATCAATAAACAATCAAATTTAACAATCGAATCAACGAAAATTAGTCTATTTTCTTTCCATCAGATGTCCTATGCATCTCATTGATTCCTTTAGTCGAATCAAAGTTTAGAGTCACAATTGAAATTTTCGGAATAAAAATTGATGAATGTGATCACTTGAAAATATTACACATTAATTAGTAGAACAATTAACAGTCAAAAAAAGGAATGAGTTTAATATAATTAATCCAAGAATCTACGTGTCAATGAGATGTGAGGAAAGAGACTCGATCAACATATTAGATCTTCCGAATGATTTCAAGAAGAAAAATATATTCAACGCGAATATAATTATCGAATCAACGATTGGAAAGTTAGTTATTCATTGATTGATTATTGTATTACAATAATTAAGAATAAGAGAAACGCGAAAAAACGAAACGGTAATAGTAGAACGGGCGACATGTTAGTTATGGACGATCTTCGGCTTAATAGATCGATTGCTTATTCGGTTTTTACTGAAAATCTATCGGCTTTGACCTTCTCACATTAGAGCTCCGGGAAAGGAATTTCGTGCTTCGAAAATCAATTTGTAGATCAGAATATCAGTTAATTCAGTTAATTAAATTCTACACAAAAAATATTCCATTGATCCTTTTGTTTCCTATTTTTCTTCAGTATTTTCATTCATAGAGATTCTTTTGTAATAGTAAAACAATAATTGAATCTTAGTTTCATGTCGAAATCTCTTTAATTTCATCACGAACGAGGTTTCCCTCTTATTGAAATTCTCGAATAAAGTTCACAGAAATTTTCGTTAGTCCTGAATCTCTTCACTAGATGTCAACTTGGTCTCCAGTTGAATAGATTTGATTGCAATTAATTCATTTGGAAATAATTTTTATTGTTGAAAATCAATTTCAATTGTCATTCAGAAAAAAAAGTTCATCAGATACAAAAAAATGAGCATTGGTCAATTGTGAAAATTTGGTAATGATAAAAAAACATCAGTAAAAATAAATGAACGTTAATTGTTCATCGAGGTTTATGATCACAATTAAAATGATGGAATAAAAAATTGATGAATGTGATCACTTGAAAATATTACACATTAATTAGTAGAACAATTAACAGTCAAAAAAAGGAATGAGTTTAATATAATTAGTCCAAGAATCTAAATGTCAATGAGATGTGAAAGGAAAGAGATTCAATGAGGTTTTAGATTTTTGGATTAATTTTACAAAAAAATTACATTTGATTTGAGATTATTAATATTATCAAATCAACGATTGCCAATTAAGTCACTTGTTTGTTTGTTTGTTTCAATGATTAGCAAAAAATAAGTGAAAATGATGAAATTGATTCGAAGAGAGAAAAAGAGATGAAAATCGATTGTCGTCCATGCAAACCAATCAGAATTTAATGTTGATCCATTTCGATGATTAACTTATCTCGGATAAGCAGTCGAATTGATCATTCGGCGAATGGAAAATTGTTATCATTGAACTTGAAATGTCTCTTGTCATAGAATTTCGCCAATGCTGGTGAATATGGATGATTCTGTTTCAAGTGAATATAATGTTGTTCTGGTTGATTAGTTGTATTTCCACATTCTTCGCACACATAAATCTTTGTCCTTCGCTCTTTGTAAGCGTAAGTGTGAGAAATCCCATGGACTTTGAGTGTGTGCGATTCCAATGAACATCTCTGAGTAAATGATTTATCACAATGATTACATTTATAAGGACGAACACCTAAAGGATCAAAGGCAAGAAAAAGAGCAACAATTAACACACTTGTTGATTAGAATCACAAATAAGACTTTTCTTTTTTTTTCTTTTTTCTCTTTTTTCTCTCTTCGTTTTCTATTTTTACTGTTTGCTTTTCTCTTTTTCTCTTTCACGTTAACAAAAACAATAAGATTAAACATAATTAAGGTAATTTTTTTTTACATAATCTCTAAATTGTTGGGTGGTCACTAATTGTCAATTACAAAAGTAGCTTAATTAAACAATTTAGTTACATAAGGACAAATGGAAAATTTCAATTGCAATGAGTTTAATTGTCCATAACAATCATGCAGTTTCGTTTGTAAAGGTTTAATTTTAACGTATTTATATGTAGGATCACAATTAAGATTTACAGTAGATTGACCAAGAAATTAGTCAATCATTAAGTAATTGTTATGATGATGAAGATTGATGAAGATAAGTACATGTTGATTATTGATGAATGATGTTGGTGTCATCTTTGTCGTAATTGTTTGATGGGTTTCAAGATGATGATGAAGGCGAAGATGAGTGAAAAGTGATTGCAGCATTTTAATTAACAATTAGCTGATTAATTATTCACCAGGCCTTCGAACGATTCCAATGAAAAGAATGACATTTGTTGCTGTGTCTCTAATTAGAAAGAGAAAAGGTCGATTGACAACAAATCGCGTTGGAAAAGCAGGTCGACCTGATCGGGCGATGAGAATAGCTGTTGACGCGGCAGCTTCAGTTCCCTCTTCATTAACTGAAATAAATACTTTGTGTACAACTGAATTAACTGTGACTCCTTTTGTCGACAATTTGAAATCATATGTTGAATTTTTACTTTTAACATTTTTAGAAACTGTTGGAGGTGAAGAAGACGCTGGAGGATTTGGTTGAAAGAAATCGGATAAATCGGCAAATCGTGGGTCAAACAATTTCTTAATTCCCATTGAGTACAAGGGACCAGCAAGTTCCAGTTCTTGTTCAGCTTTGAATTTTGGTAAAACGACGGAAATTTCATCGTCAAACATGTTGGACACAATATCATCCAAATGACTGGGCTTCAACTGACGAATCAACGAGTCAACGCCTTTCGATGGATCAGGAAGAAGGATTAACATGGAGAAATCTTGATTAGCATATGGAAGTTCCAATACTGTACATCTAAGAGTTTCACTAACACCATACATAAGATTGGCGGTTAATTTCATGAAGGGAATTTTAATTGACTCAGCAGGGGTAACATGGAAAGTTCCAACTTCAGTTTTCGCTGAATCAAACTGATTGTACCATTTAGCGTGAAAATAGAGCGCATTGGCGATAATGATTGTCGTCCACTGAGTAACACCACCAACTGGAATAAGATCTTTAATTTTACCATGAGTTTCCTCTTCTATCCATGAATTGATAGCCTGACGAGCTGATCCAGGATCTGAGGTGAAATCCATCGAAGCGGCTTCCGTTGCGAAATGTTGTTTGACACAATCATTAAGTGTAAGTGCATCATTGATGAAAATCTTATTAGCAATCGAGTAGGCCATTTTTTTAGATGGTTCCTTTGATACGAGGGAAACATTTTTCTTCAATTGATACCAAAAACGTAACCCTTGATAGGCCATACCAACAGCATGTTTGGGAACATTGTTCAACCCCAATACTGACCTTAACTCACGGTCAGTCTCATGGCGAGCACCCATGTAGGAAACAAGGAGAGCAGACCAGATTGAGAATGGACTTAATATTAATCCAGGCGATGAGTCTTTAGATTCAAAGTTATGAAGAGAACGTAAAATGTCAAAAGAAAATTTTTGTAACCCAGAGATGAGGGAACGTGAATAATTAGATGGACTATCTGAAAGATGATGTCCATTGGAAACGAAATCATCATCATAACATTTCTGGTAACTTCCTTCGGTCAATAATAACACGATGAATAAAAAAAGTAACATGGTGATGGGATAAAACCCAGAAGAAGCACAACAAATTGATGGATACACTTTGATTACTTTTTGTTTGCAATTCAAATGGAATAGAAAATAGAATAGAAGAAAAGAAAAACAGTTAACCAAATTAACCGTTTTAACCTTGTTACTGGTGTTTGATGTAAAGAACAAAAAAAAGAGATAATAAAAGAAGAGAAAAGAATTTATTCTCAATCACCACCTCAAAAGAAAGAGAAGATTTGTCATCAATAAAGTACAAGAGACCAGGTAAACCAGTATACACACTGAGAAGAAAAGAAGACAGGATTAAAAAGAAGAAGAAGAAGCAAAATTATACAGTTTCTTCTATTAATAATATGATATTATATTATTACTCTTTTTAACATCAATTGTTGATTATCATCCATCAAACATAAGTGAGATTGAAATTGTCTCCTTGAGGCAAAGAGATGAGAGATTGTAACACAGATTCAACATCCATGGTTTGGACACAATAACAATAAACAAAAATGGAAGAGAAAAAAATACAATAGATTTTAAAATGAAAATCGGAACATCAAAAATAGAATCAATTTAGAAGAAAACTAAAACAATTGTTAAGAAAACGTCATCAGAATATCAACAAAGAAAGTTCATCGTAAGAAGATTGATGAAACAGCGAAGTCTTTTCATGAAACTCTCTCTCTCTCTCTCTGCTCGACTAACGACCAATGATGACGAAATGAAAAGTAGGCTCAGAGGGAAATGTCAATTCTAATAATTAAAAGGATTAAAGGAATGAATGAAAAGTTAATTCGAGAGTAAATAGATTAATATAAATCTTTAATCCATCTTAGATTGATTCATTTTTTCAGAAGAAAATTTTCTTTCTCTTTTTCGAAATGTTAATTGTTTAGATAAATTGAGAGTCAGTAAAGTCAATTTGAGCTCAAAGTTAAGTTTCATTATTGAAAATTAATTTCAATTATCTTTCGGCAAAAAAGTTGATCTCTGGGGCTAATAAATCGATCACTTGGTCGATTTTATCGAAAATCTATCGGTTTTAACCCTTTCAGATTAAAGCTTCTAGAAAGAAATTTCTGTGTTCCGACAATCGATTCGTAGATCAGAATATCACTCGAATATCAGTTCGAATGCTCAACTCGATTCAAAGTATTCTAAAGTTTTAGAGTGAAATCTTTGTTTGTTTTTGTTCAAATTCATCTCCAATTACTTTTTGCTAATCAAATCAACAATCGAAACTTAATCATCTTCTAGATTTGAAACTTCAGTTAATTAAATTCTAAACAAAAAATATTCAATTGATCCTTTTGTTTCCTATTTTTCTACAATATTTTGGTTCATAGAGATTCTTTTGTAATCGTAAAAGCACAACTTGCGAATTCTTGGCCAACATGAACTTTCACCCTAATGATATTCATCAAGCAACTAATAGTGCGAACGTTTCTGGCTCCTATGAAGACGAAATCCGCCATCTTTTTCGAAATTTTCGTCCCAGTCCGTACGTCGCTCCTACAAATGGATTGAAAACTGAAAATCCCGTGAAAACGGAAAGTTCAGTCAAACCATCGCAGGTAAGAATAGTTAGAGTACCAAAATAATTTCGAACATTTTTTTTTTGTTAACCGAATCTTTTGTATTCTTTGTATTTCCAGAATCGAGAACTGAATAGCAATCAAAAGTCAATGTTCTATTTGTACTTAAATCGCGATGAATTTGAACAGTCACTAGATCTCGTTGATTTGATCAATTTGTCTCGAAGAAATAATGAACCTGAATGGACCGAAGAGGAAGTTTTCACGATTTATAGTTGGACCTTAATTGGAACTGGATTCAACAAGCAGTTGAACAGTTCGGAAAATTGGAAGGAAAAAAGAGCCAATCGAGATATAAGTGCTTATTACGATCGCAAGTGGAACCAATCGCAAGCAAATCAATGACCAACGAAACATAAGATGACCAAATGATCAAATGATGAGTCCAAATTTCACTGGAACAATTTCCATACAAATGACAACATGAATCGTGAACATGAACATGAACATCAGCGATTCATCAAAAAGTTTCCAAATAAATTCTCATTTTTGAATATCATTTTCAGTTCGAAATCTCTTTAATTTCATCGCGAACGCGTTTATCCTATAGATGAAATTCTCGAATAAAGTTCACAGAAATTTTCGTTAGTCCTGAATCTCTTCACTAGATGTCAACTTGGTCTCCAGTTGAATAGATTTGATTGCAATTAATTCATTTGGAAATAATTTTTATTGTTGAAAATCAATTTCAATTGTCATTCAGAAAAAAAAGTTCATCAGATACAAAAAAAATGAGCATTGGTCAATTGTGAAAATTTGGTTATGATAAAAAAACATCAGTAAAAATAAATGAACGTTAATTGTTCATCGAGGTTTATGATCACAATTAAAATGATGGAATAAAAAATTGATGAATGTGATCACTTGAAAATATTACACATTAATTAGTAGAACAATTAACAGTCAAAAAAAGGAATGAGTTTAATATAATTAGTCCAAGAATCTAAATGTCAATGAGATGTGAAAGGAAAGAGATTCAATGAGGTTTTAGATTTTTGGATTAATTTTACAAAAAAATTACATTTGATTTGAGATTATTAATATTATCAAATCAACGATTGCCAATTAAGTCACTTGTTTGTTTGTTTGTTTCAATGATTAGCAAAAAATAAGTGAAAATGATGAAATTGATGAAATTGATTCGAAGAGAGAAAAAGAGATGAAAATGAATCGATTGTCGTCCATGCAAACCAATCAGAATTTAATGTTGATCCATTTCGATGATTAACTTATCTCGGATAAGCAGTCGAATTGATCATTCGGCGAATGGAAAATTGTTATCATTGAACTTGAAATGTCTCTTGTCATAGAATTTCGCCAATGCTGGTGAATATGGATGATTCTGTTTCAAGTGAATATAATGTTGTTCTGGTTGATTAGTTGTATTTCCACATTCTTCGCACACATAAATCTTTGTCCTTCGCTCTTTGTAAGCGTAAGTGTGAGAAATCCCATGGACTTTGAGTGTGTGCGATTCCAATGAACATCTCTGAGTAAATGATTTATCACAATGATTACATTTATAAGGACGAACACCTAAAGGATCAAAGGCAAGAAAAAGAGCAACAATTAACACACTTGTTGATTAGAATCACAAATAAGACTTTTCTTTTTTTTTCTTTTTTCTCTTTTTTCTCTCTTCGTTTTCTATTTTTACTGTTTGCTTTTCTCTTTTTCTCTTTCTCGTTAACTAGAAACTATTATTTTGTTCGTTAGAAAATTACCTCAAGAAATGAGAGAGGAGAGAGTACGGGAGAGGAAGATGAATGTTGAGTTATTTTAAGTGAAAGTTAAGGAACCAAGGGAAAGGTGAAAGGTGGAAGAGAGAAGAAGACAAGTCAAAATAGAAAAGAAAAGAGAAAATAAAAAGAAAGTAAAAAGCGGGTGGAGTAGGTGGTTGATGGAAAACATTGGAAATGGTCAAGGTAAAGGTAAACTAATCTAACGGCTTCAAGGTAATAAACCAATGGACAATACTATTTACTTTCTTTCGTCTTCAACTTTACCCTCTTTTCTGACCTTAGGCTTTTTTCTTGAAGCGAAAGAGTTAAAATCTCTGTTGGGGATCTTTACTTTTACTTCTATCAACCATTAATAAGAATATAATCTCTCCACTCTCGGAATTAGGGATCAACCCAAAGACCAACGAAAGTGTTTCCATATTTATAGAAACCGTTAAGATAAGAATTTCTCTTTTCCTTTTCCTTTTCCTTTTCTTTTTCTTTTTCTTTTTCTCTCTTTACTTTCTTTCTTTCTCCTCTTCTTCTCTTCTACCTGTTGATTAACTTTCTTTCTCCATTCACTCTAATTACCTGTATGAGTCCGTGTGTGTCTTTTCAGGTCGAAAGTGTCGTTAAAACCTTTGCCACAAAATGTACAAAGATAACGTTTGATATCCGAATGACATTTCAAGTGTCGATTCAATAATCGGGACAAAGTGAATCGCTTATCACAAATTGGACATTTCATGGGATCATCTAAACTCGGCTGAACTACCGGTTGTATCTTTGTGGCATTCGAACTGGTCAGTAGTGGATTCTTAAGACCATGGCCTCCGTTTACGAAATCGATCGAGTTGAACATGTGAAGAGGAATTCCTGTAATCAATCAATCGATACATTCAAAGGATTAGAATCACAAATTATCAATAGAAATGTTATTAATAAAGAATCGTCTCAATACTTACCCAGTCTTTGAGCGAGTAAATTAACTGTGTCTGGGAGCGAAGCGGGCACTTCATTTCCACCCGCCTCAATACGAGATCTTTCAATTGATTCTTTGTACATTTTGTCAGTCACTTTGATTATTGGTTGAGATTCACATTCTAATTGGGATTGAGTGGATTGAGATGATTGAGATGAGAGAGATAAAGATGATGGTGATGGTGATGGAGATTGTGGTTGTGGATGATGAGCAAATTGATTCTTTTGTCGCGATTGAAGATGAGCTTGTTGTTGGTGTTGGTGTTGTGATACTTTCAAGTTGAGAGGACCGTCCGACTGATTAGTTGATTTGATGACAGAACCTCGTTGATAAATTGATGGGGAACATGAAGTGGATGAGTCGGGAATCGATGAGGATGATGAAGATGTCGATGGACATGGGGAAGATAAACATTCCAATGCACACCGAGAGTTTGACTCATTCGATAAAATGTCATCAGGAAAAGATGGAGACATTGGTTCAGGTGATGTGGTTGTAGAAAGACAATCAACAGATGACGAGGCCGACGAATAGGACGATGGACGCCGACGATTCCCTTGTTGTGGTTGTTTGTGTAGATAAAATTGTTCGTTGAAATATTTACTCTCCTCACTTGATCGTTTCACTGATTTACTGTCACTTGCACTTGCAATTCCAATTCCATGGTGAGAGTGATGCTCGACACCGAGAGGAGAAGAGGACAATTCAATGGATCCGAATTTCTTGTGGAGATTGTGACAATTGGTCACTGAATTGGACGATGTTCCGGGAGGAGAGATTTTCTCATCGTCCTCTGGACTCGGTGGTGGTGTCACTGGTCTCCACTGGGACGGTTGCGAATTGTGGTCTTTACAACTCAGTCGCTTTCGAATTAAAAACACTTTTGGCATTTTGATTGAGGAATTGAGACAATTGATTGTCAACAAGCAGAAAAGAAAAGAAATAAAATGAAATAAAAAGGAAAACGAGAGAAAATCAAAAGCGAATATCAAAGTAACGGTTATGAGTAAGTGAGTTTATCATTTGAATGTTACTTTATATTAACACAGAAACACCAATAAGACTGAAAGAGAAAAGAAAACAAGTTAAACCACTTTCTCTATGGAAAGAGAGTCACTTTTTCTCCCGAATTTATCTTCTTTTCTCTTCTTCGCATCATCATTGGTCTTTTTTCTTTTTCTTTCTTATCTTCATCTTCTTTTCTCTCTTCTCTCTTCTCTCTCTCTCTCTCTCTGTTACTTCTCTTCCCTTTCTCCTTCTCCTTCTCTCTCTTTTTCTCTCAGAACTTTTCTTCTTCAGTTTTCACTTAAATTCTTAAATCTAATCAATTGATCCGATTAATTAATTAATTGTTCTCATTGTTTCCCTTTAATCTTTTTAATCTTTTCCACTTCTTTTTGTAAACCATTTAAATATTTTCCTTGATTGGAATTCGACTCTCACTTTAATTCTAATGGTCTATTAGCCAATTCAATGGATCTTTACTTACGAGTAATGAGAGAGAGAGAGAGATGAAGATGAGAAGGTGAGTTGACCAGATGCAAGGGTCAAGCGATGGATCGCGAGATAGAAGGAGAGAGAGAAAGAGAGAGGAAGAGGAAGATGATGATATTAAAAAAAAGGTTAAAAAACTGTTTCCTTAGAGAAAAAGTAACACAAATAAAAGTAAACTGGACATAAGGTTATGTCCAGTTCGTTGGGATGTTGACCCTTTTGTGAATGGAAAAGGAAATCATTTAATTGATTATCACATCTCATGACCCTCTTTTTTATCTCTACCTTAACCTTTATTACTTAACCTCTTACCTTTTTTTTAACTTCCTCTTTCTACTCCTTCTTTGTGGGTGGAAACTATTAGGTGGTCAGTTTAAGGGGTCAAAGGGACTTTTATCTTTCCTTTTCTCTCCTTTTCTTTCTCTTCCCTTCCCTTTCTTTTCTTTCTCTTCCTCATCTTCCCTTTCTCTCCCTTCCTCTTACCCAACACTCAGGGAGTGGACATTATCTTTTACCTTTAACCAGCTGTACCAATGGTCAATCAAGTTGACCCTTCGATTAATATTAGTGAGAGTTTACATTTCATCTCATTTTTATTCACCTTTCCCTTAGTCACTCATTTATCTCTGTGACCCTTTGTCACATTGACATACATTTAATTCATTACAATTACAATTAACTTGTAATCTAATTTATCTTCTCACTTTCAACCATTCAAATCATTTCCGTTTTTATCTCAATCGATTCGTATCAATAATCAACAGGTAATATTATTAATACCAGAGTATCATCATGATCGATGTCATCATCATCATAATCTTACAACAGAATCATAACCAAATCAAACTGTTAACTTTCTCCGTCTCTCTCTCTCTCTCTCTCTCTCTCTCTCTCTCTTTCTATTTCTTCTAACTCTCTGATCACAATTAACTTTAATCCAGTTCTTTTTTACACCAAAATAATCACCAGAAAACTTTCACTTGTTTACCAACAATAAAAAAGCCCAAAAGGTAAACAGGTAATTCCAGTTTCCATCTAAAGGTTCACATTGTTTTCATCCCGATAACTTGTGTCATCTTCATCTTCATCCTCATCTTCGTCTTATTGCTCCTTCTTTCCCTTTCCCTTTCCCATTCCACCCTCCACACAACCTCCTCGACTCTCTCATCGCCCTCATCCGACCAGTTCCCCTACTTTCACCATCGATCCATTAATCTCACCCCTTAATTCACCCACTTCAAGTTTCCACCTTACAGACTTAAGATCATCTTCATCTTCATCTTTATCTTCATCATTGTGACTCTAAGAAAAAAAAAGAGTCAACAGGAAACTTGATTTCATCTTCACAGGTA